GATGTGCGTGTGTATAGGGGAACATTTAAAAATATAAGATGGCGAATCTTAGATTGTGAAACTATTTAAGTATAAAGACAGGTTTGTTTTTAAGTCAAAAATCATTATCTGAAAGACGACAAAAGCAGGTGGTTTGGCCTTAAACCAATTAACCCTAGCTTGCAAAAACAGACAAAGGGGCTTTCTCTATAATTATAAACTTCAAAATTTCAGAAGGTTCAGCTCAAAACTCATGAATGTGACAAAGGTGACAAGCAAGGGTCTGTAAAGTATTCAGTATTCAAAGCCTAACAACAAAAATTTAGTTAAGACAATGGTTTTTCTTCTTTCTAGGACTGGGAACAAAGAAATCACAAACATTCTACAACTGTGAAAAAGAAACAAAGAGGATTCTACACCCTTTTAGAGGATCCAATCACCTCCATTTTTCACTTAGCTCTTTTTTCTCTGAAAGGACCCAGGTGATGTAGATGGCTGCGACGAGTGCTACAATCGTGATCAAGAGAAGTGCGTAGCTGAAATCATCGGTCAGTGAGTCGTAGGTCTTTGAAGGAGCAAGCCTTGTGTAGAAGAGATCCACTCCATAGGCAAAGACGTGTGTTGTTGACTCTAGCTTGGACGGAGCTGTTACTATGCCTCTTAGACCTTCTACTTTGAGGGAGTGTGTGATGTATGACTGTTGAATATCACAAAGCACATTTTAGAATCGACACAATCACAAAAACTCAAGAAAAATATGGAAATTGGGTATGAGTGAACCTGAGGAATGATGGGCAATGAATCTGTGAGAGGGATGATTCCTTCTTCTTTCTCAGCTTGCGAGGGGTTAAGTGTCCGGCGTGGATCCACAAATCGTTTATCAAGTGCCAATATCTAATCATTCATTGGAACAGTTTTGAGCATCAGTTTTACAATCCTTGGAGGTATCTATGCATATATGATATGAAATCTACAAACCTGATCTCCCATGGTACCAATGAGAAGCTGCTTTGATGTTATACCCTTTGCTGTTGATGTCACCGCGATGGTTTTCACGGACTGAGAAAAGAAGTATGACTGTGACTTTGTGAGCATCTCTGGTCTAGAGTATGACGAGATTGGTGCTGTTAGATTGTGCTTTCCCAGAATGAGTTTCCAGACATTCTTGTTCTCCTGCAAATAAAAAATAATATGCTTAAAACACTCAAATCAACTGATAAATGTTTTGGGTAATGAGATCATACCGCCCGAGACTGATCATAGATCTCCACGACCGTAACCTCGTACTTGTGAGCTCGAAGATTGAAGTAGTGGTAAACAACCCAATTCTCACTAAATACCTGCAAATTTTTTTTAAAGAGTTAAGAAAGTTGCATTGAATCCATTTCAAAAGAAATAGTATGACAACTTACAGCATGAACTGGCCCTTGGCAGCCTTGATGTGACAAACGGTGCAGTATACGCCCTGTAATCGTATCAATGAGGTATACTACAAGTGCTGACTCCTCTGGTGTAACTGAACCAATCTCACCAGCGCCTTTTGGAGACACAGTGGCCACAAACAGCAAGTTTCTTGATACATATTTATACAACACGTCTTGGTCTGTGCTGACTTTGGCTTGTGTATGAACAACCTGGAAATACAATCGTACACAAGTCATGGTTAATAGATGAAACAATTGATGAACTTCCATTCGAGTATTCTGGATTAAAAACTCCAAGAAACAGATTATTACATTCGGAAAAAAAAACACTAGCAAGCATGATAAGAACTGATTTAGAAACCAATATTTGTACCTCATTTGGTTTTCGTGTTAGTGTTGAAATGATTTTCTCTGATTCTGAAGGAAAAACAACAGTCCATAGTTCCCTGGTAGTAAAGCAGTACTCATCTGCAGTCTCACCAGCGCAACTGCTCTTCATGGCGTGTCCTCTGATAATACCATCATCACCCTCAACAGTGTACCAATATACATTTTGAAACTCACGTTGAAAGATGCTGAGAGCCTCTGAAGTTTTAGGATACAAGTGGACATGGCCATCGGTATCAGCTATTAGATGTAAACGTTGTTCCGTTGAATCGGTAAATGGAAGAGGCATAACTTGCACAACAGAGTGAGCAATATCTGATGAGCTAATCTCCTTCCCTGTGTACACATCTACAAATGAAAGTACAGCGGGCGCACTTGAATCTGATCCGCACCTGCCAACTACAAGAACAGAGGGATTCTCGTCCATGGCGTGATGATGAGGGACCTGCCACTGATACAAGCTGATACCACTAGGGCGTGCACAGGCTTCTGAATTGCTCGGAGAGGTTAGCAACATAGACCAGACAATCCTCCCATCTCCTGTGTGCAGGGCAAAAAGTTTTCCAGCTCGAGTAAGTGCTATGAATAATTTCCGAAAGCCATTATGGTCACGGGTAAGTTTGTTCCTTCCAGAACTCTTCATCCTCATTTCTTGAATTGCTACCACATCCTCTGGGCTTGCTAGCAACAAGGATCCCTTGAGCTTCAGCATGTGTCCCTTCCAAAAGAAACAGTAAGACTTCAATTGACAGGTGACAAAACCAGAAGAATACGTCAAATACACAACTCCAGGGGAATCAAGAAAATCCAACACAGAGGTTTAAGAACATCCATACCTTAAGCCAATCTACGAGAGTGTGTTCCACTTTTGCCACTGATACACCATCTTTTTCCACAGGGAGTTCTGCCGTTGTAACATCAGTCACTGAAGCCAGGCCTTCTTCCCTGCTCCACACGATCGCCCCTTGCTGCAGTAGCAAGAGTGAGTGATCTTCCATAACGATTAGCGCCCTAAACCCATTACTCCTATCTGTCTTGATATAGTTATTTATGAAAACTTTATGCACACGCCCCCTATGTTGGTCCATTTGGATGCTCTCTCTAAGCAATACGTTATCCAAGTCATCCACAAGTTTCACCATGAGGTGAATTTTACTCCCTTCATGATGAACTGAGGCAAAGGCCACCTGATCGTCTGCAACTGGAAGTGAATCACTCATGGCTGTTTCATCAGATAGTGAGTCTACCACCTCCAACTTTCCGTTGCCACCAACCCTCACAAATATAGTGCGTTTATTTACTTTGACAGCAAGCATGTTGCTAAGAAGAGGTGATAAAATCTCAGCGTTTCCAGAATCCTCAACAAGTTCTGAAATACGGGTCTTCTGGAAGCTAATATCCCCATCTAAGAAGCCGATAGTAACCAAAATTGACCTCGTTGAATCAAGAACAACAACTTTATCGCTTGAGACTGAAGAAATTTCGCCAGAGAATCCACCAGGGAACACCATGCTCTTTTGTGCCACCACCTCTCCAGTTTTGGAATCAATCTGATAAACAACAGCCTCAGATGAATGAAGGAATCCCAGAACATAAATTATACTGCTTTCAGGAGGTTGAAGAACCCGCTGAACTTCAAACCTGCGACAGGCACAGCGAAAGTAAGTATACTAACCGCCAGAAGCATTATAATATGCATGTCTACACTCGAAGCAACCTCATTCAAATATAAATCGAAGGCTGTCATACCCTTCCGCTGTGAAATCCTTTTTCCAGAGGACCTCACCATCTACGGCAGAAACAGCATGAAGGTACCCACCACCGAAAACAAGAATAGGGTAGTCCTTGTCAACCTTTAAATTTATCTGCAAGACAGCGCTTATTCATAAACAAGAAACCAAGCACATGATGAAATGACTAAGATTAGTAGTACCAAATAACGAAAACCTTATATTACTAACCGGCACGGATAACAGTGACTTTGACTGCTGTGCGCTATGCAACGACGTTTCCCACACCATCTGGCCATCAGGAAGGTTCCAGGCTCTTAACATACTTCCTTGTGATGAAAGAGTGATAACATCTGAAAAAATATGAATCCAACAAAACAGAGTTCAAGACTATGGCAGGTGAAAGCATGTATAAAGAAGATAATACCTACATTTTCCCAAGGCAATGTCAACTCCATCAATAGCATCCTTTGTCCCAAGAACATGTCTCCAAACTGCATCAAACCACGTGGAGAGGGTAAAAGAAGCAGTAAAACGAAGGAGAGAGAGCTGTGAGAGAATAAGACTGTTCTTACAAATCTCTCCACGTCTGAGGTCAAGAGAAGCAACAACATTCTCCTCAGTAGAGACGATAACACGCTTTCTCCCAGTCTTCTGAGTGTGGAACACTGCGTGCTTCACTTTCCCGATGTACCGTTGGTGCCTACGCAATAACAAAACAACAGTGGATTCTACTCAAATCAATCAATCAATCCCACACTTAAGAAACTCTACTTCCTTTAACCCGATCGAATCTCAATCTCACTGGTGATCGAAAACTTCGTGAATCAATTTATTCTAGCTAACATACTAAATCATAGATTATACACTACGAAATATATTAATTTGATTGGCGCGAAAGCTATAGTTAGACTTGTAGAAGTACGCTTTCGAAACTTCTGAGCTGTTATTTTCGAAATCGGATGAAGAAGAGAAGAGTTAGTTACCAATCCATGAGGCCGACTTGATCTTCATAAAGGGAGAAAGATACAATCGCAGATGATAAGAAGACGAAGAGGAGGAGATAAACCCTAACCGCCATAGCCATATGACGATTGCTTACTAATTTTTCTTCCGGTAGTGTGGTAGTAGCAGATCTGGAGAAGAAGAAATCGTGAGAGGAAGGAGGAAAGGCTTCGGTTCGGTTCGGTTCGGTTCAGTAACTTCGGTTTGGTACTGGTCGGTTTTCGGTTTTTTAGGTAGAAAGCGTCTCTGAACGAGCCAGATTCAACTTAATGGGTAGAATTAAATGGGCCTAAAGGACTGAGACAGAGTTCGAAGATATTTTTGGATGATTATATTTCGTTTAAAATTATTTAATAAAAAAGAAAAAAAATTAAGAATGTCAAGTGCTGATCACTGAAGAAGCCTCAGAGGATTGAGAAAAAAGGTAACTAGAGTACAAACCTTATCCATAGAGAAGATCTTCGAGCAAGTGGCAATGGAGGACAAAACGACGCCGTCACCGATCTCTGAAGATCTTTCCCGGAAAATAACATATCTCGCCGCCGGCGAAGCGCACACCATCGCTCTCACTGGTAAACCAAAGCAATTCAACAGCTTAGTTTAGTAGGTAAAGAGATTCCTTCTCTTTTGAGCTGAATTTTTTTGTGTGTTTGCAGGCGATGGATGTGTTTACTCGTGGGGAAGAGGAATGTTCGGGCGTATCGGCACGGGGGGAGAGACGGACGAGCTTGTTCCAGCTCGTGTCGAGTTCGATTCCTCAGATCGAACGGCCGCTCGAATCGTTGGCATTGCTTCTGGTGCTTATCACAGTCTCGCTGTCTCAGGTTGTTTTCTTCTCTTCATATGTCAGTTTCAGATATTATATTAGCATGTGGTACTGAGTTTGAGTGATGAAGTATGCTTTGAGTTGTATATAGTATTAGCATTTGACCAAAAGAATGATCTGAAAAATTGGTGACTGTGAACGATGATCAATACGTTTTGTGTGTGATAAAAGTATGGTTTGAGTTGTATATGATACTGACATAAGCTTGTTAGTGTTGATATTAACTAATTGTATATGATATATGGATCTGTATTGACCTTTTTCTTGTAAGCTTTTGGCAGACGATGGCTCGGTTTGGTGTTGGGGTTATAACATTTGTATCCTTTTATCTCACTCTGGATATTATTTTTTGATTGCTACATACATGCTTTTATGCTCTCTTCTCTATATAATGCATTGGATCCTTGACTGGGTGAATGGATGGCCAACTTGGTTTTGATGGGGAGAACACCTTAGCTCCACGCTTGATACAGAATTTTTTTGAACAAGAAGAAGCATCTAGTTCTTCTTTTGATGAGTCAAGTAGAGAAGCTAGATCAGATTTAAAGGTATGTCCGTATGGTTCATTGAAAAGGCTTTCTTAATGTTGTGTTTATTTAAGCCAAAAGCCTGAAGGACTACACTTGGGTAGGTTTGTGCAGTCAAGGCTGGATCCATGATGTCGCTTGCCATTGATAATGACGGAGGTCTTTGGATGTGGGGCAATGTTCCACCACAAGATAGTGGAACTGAGCCTCGTTTGTCTTTTACAAGCGTCCCGATTCCGTTTCCTATACGCGAGTTCCATGGCCGGACTGTTTTGAAGGTAGCATGTGGGGATGAACACGTTGTTGCTCTTGTTGGTTCTAAGGAGATCCAAGAATCTGTGTTGTATTCTTGGGGTAATAATTATCATGGTCAGTTAGGGCTTGGGGATGGAGAGAGCCGTGCGAGGCCTCAGATTGTGGAGACGTTTAACGAGAAGTCTGGTCTTACAGTCTACGACATAGCTTGCGGTGCTCATCACACAGCTCTTCTCACCTACAGGAAGGAGGCACCGAAAGGACCAAGCGTTTGCTGGACGTTTGGGTTTGGAGAAAATGGTCAGCTTGGGCATGGAAGTACCAAAAGCTCACAGATTCCAGAGCCAGTTTCGGAGCTCCCAGAACATGCTAACTTAGTTTCCGTAGACTGTGGGTTGTTCCACACGAGCGTGGTGTCATCTGAGGGATACGTGTGGTCATGGGGAATGGAGAGGGGACTAGGGTTATGCCCTGATGTAAATTTCTCAGAAGTGGAAGCAGGAGACGACAGTGTACCAAGAAAGATCTCAGGTGGGTCAAGATTTCGTGACCCGGTTCAGGTTTCTTGCGGGGCTGCACATACAGTTCTTGTGGCCAACGGTGGTTACAAGCTGTGGTCATGGGGAAGAGGAAGAAACGGAGTTCTTGGAACCGGTAATGTTATGGATTGTTATGTTCCCACCCCTGTCTTCTGGCCGCCAAATGAGCTGAAACAGGACAGTGAAGAAGTACCAAAACCTGATGATGACAAAAGCTCATCAACGGAGGAGATTAAACAGCTACAAACAAAGCTAATGGTGATGGAAAGATATGCAAGCATACTTCATGGGTCCATATTTGGTAAACCTTTCAATGAAGAGGAAGATATCCCGTATTCATTACGGGTTTCTGGATACTTCGATATGGGAAAAGAGTGGGGGGAGATGCTGGAGAGTGCTGATAAGAGTCAGCTTATGAGGCTTCAAGCTTTCTATGAGGACATGATTAGTAGGGTTAAGGATAAGGTGTTGCAGAGAAGGATTCAGGAGATTATGAAAGATTGTCTTCAATCATCAGCCCCTAAATTCTAGTAATCTCACCTGTTGTTGTACTAATGATAATACCGTCACTTGAACATATATACCTACGAATCATTTTGAATAATTTACTAAATTTGCTGATTGTGGAATGATGCGTAAGTAAATATACTTACATGGATAAATAGTTAACGACTCAAAAAGAGATGATAAGTTCCCTAGTTAAACTATAGTTTACAATGTTCTATAATTCAAAAATCCAAATTGATAAAATTTCAAAAGATACTATAAGATATTAATAGAGGTTCCTAACTTTTAAACATGATTGGAAATCATTTGAAATAGCGATTATAAATTTTAAAGACTCCTCTTAAACCTTATATTTTGGATCTTATTAATTGTTCGGGAAATCGAGCTAACCATGCATCTTCGAGAAATCCCCATGAAAATCCTTTTCCACAATCAGTCCAAAAATTATTTGATTTTCTTTGAAAAAAATTGTTTGCACTGTAGTATCCCATCATCCACCAACCAGTGCAGGACAAGAGAAATCCATTCAACAATCATTGCAATGTCTTTTCATATTAAATTTTCCAATAAATAATGTCAGCTAATATCATTTCATTGCCAACTCACTAATAATGTATATAAAATAGAAATATACTGAAGGTTGAATCCAAATTGTTATTTAGAAAAGAGGAAAAATATAGAAATATAATTCTATTTGATAATGGTTGATATCTATGGCTTCTAGGTTCCAAATTTGGGTCCATATGCAACTCTTTTTGAACCTTTACCATGGGCAACTTGCATGCTTTTTTTTTGTGTTTCGTGTATTTTAGTAGCAATTTGAAAATTGTTTTCCAGATTTTCTTATTAATAGCTCTTTAGGCCGCAGGTTTATTTTTTCTTTTATCAAATAGTTGATTCATTGATGAAATTAAGTTTTACATTTACTCTATTTTAGATATACACAACAAATTATCAGCAGTTAAATATTTTATGCTCTAAATAATTCGTAGAATAAGCTAACGTGAGTGTGAGGCTTCATTTACTAATTAGAATTTTAATAAGACAGAAAAAAATTTCAAGTATTTCTTTTCCCTTTTGTTACATTCCTAAACACGCAGAGCCTTCGGCCCGTGGTATAATTATGTGTTCTTGAGACTGAAGCTTATAAACCCGATTTCAACTCTATCCAAGCGCGGTCACTTTTTAAAATTTTGCTTCTGGCCCTATAATTTCTAGGACCGCCTCTGTAAACACTAATCTATGATTCTCCACCAGCTTACCAAAATAGTAAATACCTATAACTGGTTAGATATTACACGTTTAATACTACTCTTTCGTCTACCACTTGTTTCGACATTGAGTTTTGCATATAATAATACTTAACATTCCTGAATCAAGAAGCACTAACCAAAAGAAAAAGATTTCGACATTAAAATTGTATATAGAAGGCAATACTTTAATACGCACAAATTCGAGTTTATTCAATTGCATTAGCATTTGTGGCTATATAACTTACATCTATCATAACGGATTAATAAGCCAGCTACACTGCAAGGCTGGCCGACCGTTAAATCAGTTTACAATTAATATATATTTAATGATCTACACAAATCCGAGACATATGGTAACTGTTAATTAAACTAATCGACTAAACGTGATTAAACTCGACTTAACTCGAGCCATAGTCCACATATATTTAGAACAAAACATAATAGTGGAGAATTTCAAGTGGTTCGCCGTTCACATGCCCTTTTATAGCGATATCAACGATTGAACATTTTGTAAATTCATGCCAGTTCTCAAAACAAAAAAAAAACATTTTGTAAAGTCTTTTTTTTTTACGATTTTGGTCGATGATCGAAATCTAAAAAATAATAATAGAGGAGTCAATAATTTCTTTCCGTTCTGAAGTTATGCATAGACCATCATGAGACAGGTACATCTTGATTTAAGAATTTCAAAACCTCACAAAAGTATGCAATAAAGTTATATATGTCGGATCCACTCTAGATTTGCGTGGTATAATGCCGGATAATAAAACCTAACGAAAACATATGTATACATGTATAATAGTTAGTGGGAAATAGTTAGAGCTATGTGGATTTAAAAGTTAAATCTAATGAAACCGATCAGATTAACCCGAAACGACATCAAAACAAAAACACAAACCCTAGAAACCTTAAAGAATCCACATCAACGAACTCCCTCTTGGGTTCATTAAATCAATTTTTTATTATTAAATTTTTTCTATTTTCTTTTTAATTTTTTTTTAGAAAAAAAACCTAGACCAATTCTAGGCCGCCACGTGTTGAACTTTAATAGAGAGATGTTCACCCGAGAGAACTTTAGAAGAGAGGGGTTCATAAGTTTTTGTTATTTTATTATTATTTTTTCTGATTTCCATGTGAACTCTCATTTAAACTTCCAATGAGGATGTTCTTAGCTCAAATTAACTTTAAATACTGAGCACATCCAGAAAAATATTTTCTACAACCACAATTTTTATACTATAATTTATTTATATAACTAAATAGTTTTATTATATATATATATATATCACAAAACTATTATAACAAAGAAACATTCAACATATGGAGTCGAATAATCCTTTTCAATATAGCTATGAAACAAATACATATCACAAACTTTGGAGTTTGCAAGTTAGAAGCTTTTTTTTGCTAAACAAAGCTAGAAACATTTAACTTTTGGGGTTTGAGAAACACTAAATACGTTTAACACTGATTAAATAGATAAACTGTTGTTGACAAGAGAATCGTAAATCCAGCATAAGTCAATAGGTAACCTTAACTAGGATAACCGATTGACTGACAAATTGATTTCATGACCGTATTTCCATTTTAGAACGAGAAGTTGAAAATCATCACAGCTCTTTTTCTTGAAAAGATCTTGGAAACTGAAAAGATGTAAATGTGACAGGACTAGACTTGTCACATTCTTTATCCTCCTCATTTAAGGACCATTCACATCATGTAGATACAAATATAGTATTAAAGTACGTTATTTTAGGGGTCATCAACAATTGCCCTTTTAGACCATTCACAATTGGAGATTTGAAACTTAGTTTTTAATTGTTGAACTTTTTCTAATGAGGATGTTGAAATTTTGAATAAATTTATGTGGCATCAACATGCATTGACAAACTTCAACAGCTAACAGCTAAATCTTTTTTTGTGTAGATCAGTTTTGTCACGTGCCGTTATTAAATTGGAAAAAAATTGTTGGACAGGTTTTTCGAATTTTTAGTTTCACCTAATAATTTTAACTTATTTATTCTATAATATTTTTTTTTTAAAAATAAAAATTATATTAAAATTTATACTTTTATGATCTATAGATAGAGATTACTTCCATTTCCTTTGGATACATAAAAATATTTTCATTTTTCATTATAATCAACTATTGTAATGTTTTAAACTTTTAAAATTGATTTCAATTGTTTTAATGATAATAATCTAGTATTACTGTTAAGTTAAATACAATAAAAAATATTATTAATATGTAGTTATTATATCATAAAATAAAAATATGAATTAAAAATGGGTGGGATATAGTGTTGAAATTTTAAAAATAAACTATTGTAGAAGTAAAAAATGAAATAGGTGTTGAATAGATTATGTGGAGAAAAAAAAAGATGATGTAGTAGATGTTGAAAGTGAAATGGATGTTAAAACCATTGTGCATCTGTCATCTTTACAATTTTGTTAGTAAAAAACTAAAACACTTCCATTTAGCTATTTTAGCTAGGTAATCAGATCTGCTTTTATTATAAATTTTCTCTTTTTAATTCTAATAACGTTAAACGGGTTGTCTGATCTATTTTAGTATTCTGTCGCCAATATATTGTAGTATAATTATGTGGAAAACATTCGTCATACAAATATATTGCATGTATTTTAGCCAAAAAACAATATATTGCATGGAAGTTATATATGTGGCTTGTAATGTTTTCGTCAGCTTGGCAAGTTGGTCTCGCTTTGTGTTTTTTTTTTTTACCCTAGCTCTCATTTCTCTCATTCCAATTATTCCGACCAAACAAAAATTGATGATTGTGAGAATATAATGTACATTAATTAAGGGTTAAAAACAAAAATACACAACAGTTTCTAACTCCTAATGATTTTGTATTATTGCATTGCCATAAAGTTAGTGGACCTTTTATTTTCGCTTATTCTCTTGATGATTACTTAAAAAGAAAAACACTTTTCCACTTCTTTTCAGAAAAACCAAACGATATTAATAATAGAAGACAAATGAGTTTTGTACACGTATTTCATTTTGGAACTCACACACGCACCAAAGAAAATAAAACCCTTCTTAGCTTACACCACGAAATAAAAAAACAAAGAAGGGTTCAAAAGACGTTATTAAACAAGACAATGATTATAACAATGATGATTAAAAACGTCGTTAGAGATCCCATGACAAGACTTGGTTGTAACCGTAACTATCTTCCGACAACTCTCCCCACGGTGGAGGATAAAAACAGTAGTCCACTGAGTCAGAGAACACAAACTCGTTTCCAACTTTAACGTCGTAACTCGGTCCGAGACTTGGCAGCTCCACGATCTCTCCGAGCTCCTCTGCCTCAGTCCTCGAGAGGTCCAATTCCATCACCAACACGAGAGACTCAAGCGAAGAAGTAGAACACGATGATGAAGGCGCAAACGACGTCGTTGGCTCCATGTGTGCTGCTTTGAGAGCGGCTGTCTGAATATCTCGAGGGCTCAACGAGACAGGTCTAGGGAATGACTCAACAAGTTCAGGGAAGTTTAGTATAGCTGAGCTTCCTTTGATGCTCAAAGCCGCTACGTCGTGTGCACGCGCCGCCATCTCCGGGGTTGGGAAAGTTCCGAGCCAGATACGTGATTTCTTCCTCGGTTCACGAATCTCAGAAACCCATTTTCCCCAGTTCCTCATCCTCACGCCGTGATAAACCGGATGTCTACCGGAATCTTTAACCCTTTTGGGTTTTTTAGAATTATCTGTTTGCTCTATTCTGCTCTCTTGACTCACTAAGTTAGATGAGGAGTTAGGGTTGTGAAGCTGAGACATTATTCTCTCCTTGTGGATGTTGTCGTCGTATTCTTCAGTGGACGTACTCTTTGACACTGATGAAACCATGGGATCTCGTGACTAATTAATGAAAATAGTAGAAAATAACGATTTGCTAAGGTTATTTTCTTTGTAGTGTTTCTGGTGAGAATAAAGATTAGGGAACTATTCAAAATGAGAAAAGAAAGAGGGTAGATAGTGAAGTGATGAAGAAACTATAGAGAAACAACTTTGATATGAGAAGAAGAAATGTTGGTAAAATCTTTGTCTTATCATTTTTTTCTCAATCACTCAAAATATTTATATGCATAAATATTTTTGGACGTGTTAGAATTGTGGAGAGGGAATGGGACCAGACCAATGCAATAAAGGAAATGGACCCAATGGCTATATTAATTTTGTTTTCTTTATAGACCCACTCTATTTTTTTATAATTATATTTATTACTATAAAACAAGACACTTGGAGTCACTGTTTGCTTTGATATTTTTGGGGTTTGGACACCACATTCAGAATGACAATACTGAAGTATCTAGGCCAATGTCTCTGTCCCGGCTGGGTACATAAGTTTTATGAGATTTGTCTCCGTGAAAGCATGGTGAGACAGCCTTTTTTTATTATTTGTGTGACACGGAAATTTTCACAGAAGTTATACTATTTAATTGTCTTTCGCCCTGATCTCCGACTCAGTGGATCATAGCGCTTACCATGACAAGAACATTGATATATAATACATTCGCATTTACATACACATATATTTGCATATGCATGTTCATGTGAAGCTAATCTATGTATGTAAGAGAAAGGTTAAGCCATGATCATGACATTTCTCTTTTTAAAATTACCATATCACTTAGTTGCTTACGTAATTTCTTGTCTTAACCATATTAATATGCCTCGAAGATCAATGTTAAATAGACTTATATATCCTAATTAATGGTCCTAGAGTAAGATTTAAGTCGAGATATACTGACAAGACCAATTATTCAACTGGTAGCATTATATATAAAGTTATAAGAAATCTAGAATAATATATAATAAATTAACGTGAATCAATATACTACTTATAAATCAGTTTTGAAGTGGGATTAAACTTCGAATTCGCATCAAATGGTGTGATTTACCAATACCATATAATAGATTTTTGAGTTCGTATTATAATTTGAAATGATTTTAACGCCTGTAAAATGATAACTAACCCATATTTTTTGGTCTGGATATAAATATGGGCACGTAAATTCCATAAACAAATGTTATCAGTTAATGCAATTAATTAAGTTAAAGTTTGTTCCAATCACGCAAAGATACATATAACGAAAAGAAGTATATGTAAAGAGTTTTTTTTCAAAAAAAAAAAGTATATGTAAAGAGAAACTTCAAGAAATCTATTTGTTCAATTATGGGGCCGTATTTGCGTCCCTTTTTGACGGGTTTCTTGTGAAACACACGTGAATATAGATTCATTTTATAGTATATATTTGTAGGTTTACTCAAAAGGCAATTTTAATTATGAATAGTTAGCAAAATGATAGAAAACAAGAATATAAAACATTTTACGTGTGTTTATTTATTGAGTCTTTCTTATTTGTTTATGTCTTTGTGTATTTATTTAGGCAGACGTACAAACCAAATATGGTATTAGTAGACATCCTTTATATATTAAATCACAAGTCACATAACTAATCATATTTTGACACATAATTCATGTACAAAATTAAAAAGGATAATGTTTAGAAGAAAAGAAAATGATCCATAAAACTATATATCCATGATCCTACTTTGTCCATGATCAGGATTTTTCATTCTCTTATATATATCTCATATTCTTTTCAGAATATAATTAAAAGATTTTTCTCCTTTCACTAGTAAAAAAACATGAAATAGCAACGTTAGTTTTTCGTAGCTATAATAGAAAATTCGTAGCTATATAACAAATCTGCCACGAAATGCTACGAAAAGAATATCGTTGCTATTCGAGCGTAGCAAGAAAAAACCGTAACAAAAAACGTAGCAAGAAGCTACGATTTGGCTACGAAGATATCGTGGCAAATAAGCTACGTTTTGTGACGAAATATTTTGTAGCTGGTTTAGCTACGAAACAAAACTGTGGCTAAACGTAGCTTTAAAAAATATATTCTCATTTCGATCAAATATATATATATATACATTAAATCACAAATTAAATTAAAATTTCATATAAAAGAAAATATTAGAAAATTGATTTATAATTAAAATAAAATATTTTTTATAAATTAAAATTGGGGTTACAAAGAATATCTGGTTTACAAAACTAAACCAGATTTAAATTATAAAAAAACAGTAAACCAGAAAAAAAAAAAAAACTAAACCTAATCTTCAAGCTCTAAGCCGCCTCCTCGGATCTCACAGATCTTCTTCCAACCTCAAGCCGTGGACGTGAATCCAACAACCACCAATCTGCCGCAAATTGTCGTCATTTTCCTCCAGCGAATCCAACGACCACCAAATCATCTTCTTCTGCCGCAAGGAGATGAGGAGACGAGTTGTAGAGGAACTGCGGAGATGAGGAGGTGATGACGCGACGGTGGTGGTGGTGGTGGTGGTGGTGTATAGCCGACGCCGATTTTCTTCACACCACGTCATACCAGAGATGAGCAGAGGAGAGAGGATTAAATGAGCATAGAAGAGAATACCTGAGAGTAGAATGAAACCAGAATTATTTGGTTTATGTCTCTGTGTTATTTGAGATCTGTGTGCAAACAAAAGAAATAAAGAGAGAGGGGAAGAAGCACACGGGACAAGAAAAAAAAATGAAGGAAACAATTTGATCCCTTAGATTAGATTTCATCAAGGGTTGTTATTAGGTTTTAGTTATCCTCGCCATGCTGCTCAGCCAATCATAGATAAGACAAATAAAATAGAAGGAATTAATATAACCTTTAGATTAAGTCTAATCAATGGATGAAACTGAATCCTTGTATAAAAAGATTAACCAGCAAAAATAAATATTTATTTGTTTTATTTTTTCTGTGTTATATCTGTTTTTTTTTCAAACTGAAAGTTTATTTATAGTTTAATCTAATTGACAAGTTTAGTAAAGTTGATTGTTTTATATATTGTTCCTTTATGGTTTATAATTTAGATTTTTGAGGTTTTGGATATGATACTAGATTTTTAAATTATTTGATTTTGAACTGAAGTTTCATATTTTATGTCAAAATATGAAAATAATAGAATTGTAAGTTTAGTATTTAGAGTTTTTGTGAGGTTTAGGATTAGATGTTAGAATATGAAAAGATTAGAGTTTTAAGGTTTGTGTGCAAAGTAGTTTGAAGTTTAGGGTATATGGAATATAAGGTTTGGTGTAAAGGGGTTTGGTTAAAGACAAGATGTAAGACTAAAGTTTGAAAAGATTAGATTCTGTTTTATATCTAAGATAATGTTTTCATTTTAAATATAAAGTTTGATGTTTATGATTATCATTTGGGAGTATAGGGTTTAGGTTTAGAGTTTATGGTTTGGAGTATAATATTTGATATTTGAGGTTTAGATTTATAATCTAAAATTTAAGTTTGAAAATATTTAAATTTTTGACTTTATTATTAAGTTTGAAGTTGAATTTTTAATAGAAAGTTAAAAAAAAAATTATTTAGGGTTTAGAGTTTTAAAGTATGTTTAAGATTTTAAATAGTTACAAAAATGTGGCAAATCGTAGCATTTCGTGGGTATATAAAATAGCTACGAAATACTTCGTAGTTAAACCGTAGCAACAAAAACTTTTATATAAATTAGCTACGGTTTTAACAACATTTTATTTGGTAGCAAAATTGCCACGCAAGATTCGAAGCAAAATCGTAGTTATTTTTAGCTACGTTTTATTTCTTAGCAATTTCGTTGCTTTTTTTGCTACGTTTTACATACGAAAAGCTACGTTTTCAACTCGTAGCATTTTTGTAGCTTTTTCGTAGCATTTCCCAATTTGCTACAAAATTTTCGTAGCTATTTCGTTGCTGTGGCCGAGATTTCTACTAGTGTTTCTCGCTTTCAAAATCCTAATTCATAGCGGGAGTCATCTTGAATGTCCTAAGCCAGTGTTGAGATCAAGTTCTACGTAAGGGGTACAACTCATATTTCTTAGGGGCAATATATCATCCTTTGTACATTTTTGTTGACTACGGAGCATACACTGCTTCATTGAACTAGTTTATGGCTAGGAAAACAAGCAAGAGTGGACAGGGTGAATTTGAATGGTTAGAGATTCAATTCGAAAAAGAGATTTTTAACGAGAAGAACAAGGAAGAAAAAAAGAATAAATGTCAAACCACAAATGAAGATGCAAGCATGGTTAAATCACAAAGACGACTTTTGATAGATGGACTTCGAATAAAAGATAAATGTTCTTTGTGTGTATACTTAAATATATTGCGTATATAACTCTTAGTTGTTGAAAGCAGTAAAAATTCTTGTTGAAAGCAATAACTTTAAAGGAAAGTTTGAAAAATGCCATGCTCTTGTGTTCTTTAAAATAATGTGTCACTTAAAATTCTTTTACTAGGACTTCAAACTAAAAAGATTTAATTTCCATTATTATGCACTGGTTATTATCTCTTAATTTGAGATGATGTTTCTATGTTACATGTTGTTTTTTTTTTCAAATTTTCAGTGGGTTTGTAATATTATTTTGTTTGTATATCGATAAAATTAGAGGGGATACTAAAAGAACAAAACGAAATAAAACAGAAAAACTTCACACTAATATTTATATTCAATAAACAATTTAAGAATCAAGGTAACGTTTTATAAACAAAGTCAAACTTAATTTATTTGTGGTTACTTAATTATAAGTGATAATATTATTTTTAGTGTATACACATTTTATTCTGATAAAACATAGTTATTTTATACATGCAATTTTTAAGAACTGTGAAATGTGTTTATTTGTAAGCAGAAATACTCCCATGGAAAGCATGGACTCAATACTAGTACAGACATAAAGTCCAAATCTTAGGTTCCAAAATAAGCCTTTTGGAAAATGACATTTTCTTCTTTTTCATTGTCTTTTGATGCAGGAAAGATACATTTTCTTTTCTTTTTGGTACAAAACATATATTTCTGTTAAAACAATAAATCTTAGGTTAAAACATCTATTGTTTGTGTCATCAATATTAACAGACTCAATTAATACTCTAGAAAAACATATATATATTTTTTGTGAAAAAATATCTACTCTTAATCAACAAATTTTAGCATTACACAAAAACCATGTACATGACATTTACGATGAGGTTTATTTAATCTGAAATTTTATTACTGAAATGATAATTTATACTTATGTTACTTAAACATAAATAATAAATTTATAAATTTTATGTCCATTATTATTATTTCAAACAATGAACACAATTTGTTATACTCTTAAGGTATTTTGTGGAATTATTTAACTGGAAAAAAACTTATGATTTTAGATGATGAAACACAAAATGTTTAAATTAAAGTTATACGGGTTTTCACAGTTCATCCAAAATCATTTAAAAATTTATTAAAATCAAATCATTACAAATCTTTTTTAAATACTGTATGATATACATCCTTAATTAAAACGTTTTTTGCTTTAGAAACTTACAATGTATGTGGACATTTATTCTTAATTAACACGTTTCTGCTTTTCAAACTTAGTGGTCACCGAAATACGCAAATGGTTGGCGTTTGGACTCATTAATTCCACGAGTTTAATTATGGGAGCAATGTATAAGCATGCATGATAAATTTGAGAAAACATTTTAAATCAATTTTTATCTTAGTCTCACTCAAAACACTCCCACTTACTAGTAACTATCAAACTACATTTCACACACAAAACATATGTTTATGCACCATATATAGAACGTATTAAATAATTTATTTGGCATATTTATATTATTTATGATTGATGTTAACAAAATTTTGTATTGTTTATAAAATGATCTGAAAAGAATCTGATATATATAAGACGATATTCAATGATAGTGGAGATATTTGAGTGTCTGATTATCGCAGCTTCAGTCCTGCTTCTTTTTTGTCACAGACTCACATGCGATTGCCTGGCTCAACCACACAGTGTCCTTAATGAGTAACTTCCAAACGAGTTGTTTGTAGGCAAAAAGGTTCTGAACTTAATTGGTAGGTGACAATTTTGACAGTGTAAAGAAGGATATATAGCGAAGATATGTAAAGCTATTAAAAGTGCGTGTTTTGAAATTTCATTTTATATAATCTTATTTGTTTGGGAATATGGACGTGTTATGGATTCCTATTTTCAGGGTTTGTACATTGTTCTGTTTTCTTCAATTCACATGTTATTGTAGGACCGCGAAAATCCTGATTGAAAATCACGAAATAGAAATCGTATAACGATAATATGAGACGGAAAAAACTTTTAAGAAATCATTAAGGAAATAGACGAATTCGTGGAGTCGAGATTTGATCTCTTTCCTTAACTCAATAAATCGCTCGTAATGTGAGACGGTTTAGATGCGATTTTTGAATCTCAGGATACAACCACGATGAGACTGTTTCGCTGCACCCGAAAACAGAATCTACGAACTAACTACTACGCTATACTCTCGAGACTTACTTTAAGAGAAGACTTTGGTTTTTACTGGAACTGTTTGTTGTTTGCTTTTCAATCTGAGAAACAATGAAGAGGTTAAGTGTGTATTTATATAGAAAGGTTCGCCTAGAATAAGAATATTCGTGGAATTATTCCGGTATATTTCTGGAATTATTCCGGCATATTCCTGGAATTATTCCGGTATATTCCTGGAATTATTCCGGCATATTTCTGGAATTATTCCGGCATATTCTTGGAATTATTCTTTTTACTCTTGCAATTCAAATGAAAGGCGTTTTAGTTTGAGCCCAAAAGACATTTGATCCATATTTCTCTTCACATTACAGCATAAATTTACACAGCCCAATGGCTTATAAATTTGGGTTCTAATAATCCCCCACATGAATAGAAATTACTCTAAATAATGCAGACATGACAAGATTATGCAGACTCGATAGACTCTACTGACTAGACTTAATACTAGACTAGACAAACTTTTTGAGAGTATAAGTGAAGACTGACTGCATCTGAGGTAGTAGCGTATTCCAGCCTTGAACCACTCATTGTTAAAATCTGTCGGATCTACATTTCAGGAAGTGAACGTGATGTCTTGAACCACCTGAAGTTTTGTGTAAACCGAGACAGCAGATGTAACACAGCTTCATCTTCTCGTAGAGTTAAGTTCTCTGTTGTGTTCATTTTGGCCTTGAACTTGCCTGGTAGTCATGAGTGAATTTGGAGAGAGTTGCCTGAACTTCTCCTCCTAGAAACGGCCACATTTCACACTCACTAGGTGATTGCCATCGTACCTGTCATATACATCAAAAGTATCATGTTATACTCTATGTATATGAAGATTTATGGTCTTATCTCATTAAAAAGCCATTGATTTACCTTAATATCTACAGGAAGCACTGTTATCATCTTGGGATCTGAGTAATTCTCAGTGTTTTAAACAGATTCTGCTTGACTTAGTTTTCCCTTTGAACCAACATCTTGGGATCTCCAATCGCGTTAGTGGGGTTTCCATCAAACATCTTCTTAGTAATAGGCAATAAACTCATTCTCTTCGATGATTTTAAAAACCTATTCTCATAATGAACCTTTGGTGAATATCCACAAGGTAGCCAGCTGACTTTTTGAGATCACAGTTATCATGTTTCATTTTTGATCTTTTTAGGAGGTAGTACAACGACTTTTGCCAAGTACCCCCACACTTTGAGGTATTTGTATGAATGTACATTACCTCTTCAAAGTACATGGCCTTTTGCCATTTATTATATGTGGTAAATGACATTTCTCACACATTTCCTAATATAACACATAATCATGTATCATTGCACTCATCCATTAAGAGTTTAGAACTTATGTTCCTCAACTCCATGGAATTCTAGTGAACCAGGAGCAATTATTACGAGGATGATGTTAATTCTCTCAAGAACACATTTAATCTCGTTTGAGTTACCACATATATATTTCATTATGTTATGGAACATTGACCCAAAATTACACTTTATGTGCCCGTTTTTATCAAATTTGTTTGAGATCTCACATTGTCTCAAATGTCAAGCATTCCTAGTTCTTTTGATTCATCACTTTTGCATTATGTTCACAATTGTGTAGACCATATGCTTTATGATTTGCATGTTTAGCTTTACATAACAATAAATTCATATTGCTTATAGCCTTGTAGTGGTTATATTAGCTATAAAAAATTGATTCATATGGATGATCACTCCCAATTAGGGTTGTCGTCTCACTGATCAAATATTTTATGATTTATTAAAAATATATTTATTTTTAATAAATTCTTGGACATAGTCCTTATATAGATTTATCCGTATGGACACAATCTTTAGATATTGATTTATCCATAATAAATACTTTGTAAATCTTTGGACGTTGTTTATCAAAAATATTATGAATTTAATCTTATATGATTTATCCAAAACATTATGGACTCAATCTTATAAGATTTATCCAAATATTTTATGATGAACTTAATCTTTCAAAATTTATTCAAAATATTATGAATTCAATCTTTTAAGATTTATTCGAAAATATTATGAACTCAATATTTTAAGATTTATCCAATCTGTTCACAAAAGACACAAACCGTAGTAAACATTGAGAACTCAATTCAATAAGCGATTAAGAGATTTTAAGTCGCTATACTATATATGTTCCCAAATTTACGTATAGCGTTCTTAAACGTTCAATAGTCGTTCCCAGAACTCGTCATAACGACGTTCTTAAACACTATTTTTAGTAATAAATTTCGTTTTTTGTAAACAGAAAACGAGATCGCGAACCTGTTAGAGACTGTCGCGTAAATCGTTTTCTAGAACGATTCGTCTAAGTTGATCAAAGTGTTTTGCAGAATAGCTAAAAAGCGTTCTCAAATAGTTTCAAATCTATTTTTAGAAACGTTTTATAAAACCGTTTTTCATAAATATTGTTCGAAATATTCAATCCGATTTAAGCGATAAGCAGAAAGCGGATTATTGAGTTAGGATTGTAGGACCGCGAAAATCCTGATTGAAAATCACGAAATAAAAATCGTATAACGATAAGATGAGACGGAAAAAACGTTTAAGAAATCGTTAAGGAAATAGACGAATTCGTGGAGTCGAGATTTGATCTCTTTCCTTAACTCAATAAATCGCCCGTAATGTGAGACGGTTTAGATGCGATTTTTGAATCCCAGGATACAACCACGATGAGACTGTTTCGCTGCACCCAAAAACAAAATCTACGAACTAACTATTACGCTATACTCTCGAGACTTACTTTAAGAGAAGACTTGGGTTTTTACTGGAACTGTTTGTTGTTTGCTTTTCAGTCTGAGAAACAATGAAGAGGTTAGACGTCTATTTATATAGAAAGGTTCGTCTAGAATAAGAATATTCGTGGAATTATTCCGGTATATTCCTAGAGTTATTCCGGCATATTCCTGGAATTATTCCGGTATATTACTGGAATTATTCCGGCATATTTCTGGAATTATTCCGGCATATTCCTGGAATTATTCTTTTTACTCTTGCAATTCAAATGAAAGGCGTTTTACTTTGAGCTCAAATGACATTTAATTTATATTTCTCTTCACATTACAACATAAATTTACACAGCCCAATGGCTTATAAATTTGGGTTCCAACAGTTATGACAAAAAATTACAAAAGAGATCATTGTCTTATCAAAATTAGCATCAGCTTCTAATTAGCATGAAGTTATGAGTATGTCAAAGTCGTACGGAGATTCGTATAAAGAATTGCTTAACGTGGGCATTCCTATTGAAAAGACTTTCGCAAGTGTTAGATTAGGAATCTACTAAAGCTGTGTCTCATGTTTCTTTGCTTCTACACACACAACATTCTGATGATATGTAATTCTTAGATGCACAATCTTTCGTCATTTATTCGATGAGCTCTAAGAAATAAACTAAAGGTTATTGATCTCATCCACTATTGGATATGTCATATGTTTCCGCAAATAACGAAATGAGCCATTTAAATTTGTATAGTTTACACTTTCCTTCTCTTGGGGCTTAGGATGAATTCATCATCATCGTCATTATCATCAACGACTTTTTTCTTCTTTCTCGCATCTGAACCGTTGTTCTTGGAAGCTGATGGTCTTTGAGAACTCTCCGGTTTGCTAGAATATGATGGCGTCGGTTTAACCGGTGTTCCCATTCGGATTTGCTTCATCTTTCTTAGCTTTTTCTCATGAGCTCGCTTCGCCTTTTCCGGAGACAACATTCCATGTTCCATTAGCCTGTTCCAACACATACATAGCAAGAAACCATTCAAGTTTTATGCTAAAATGAGCCAAGAACAGTGTTCCAAGCTCATCATAAAAAATTTGTCAATAAATTTTTTTTTTTTTTTTTACCAGAACTCAGCCATTTCGCTTCCTGGTATTTGTTTCGATAATGATTCATAGAATATCCTCAAGGGCTCTCTCTGCAAATGCAAAAGACAGAGAAACCAAGAATCAAGAACATGACTCAATAGAGAAAATCTTTAGAGATATATTATTAACCTCTTCAGGAGGATCAAATTTTTGTCCGGCTAATGAATAAACCTTCTTCTCTCTTTTGGCTTTACCTTTCGCCAAGCTCGCAGCTGCAGATGTTGTTGCTGTCGATTTCACCGAGCTTACAGGGTTCTTGGGCTTTGCCTTCATAAAATTTTTTGCAGTAAATATATTACAAGATTGTTGTACGATCGACCTAGAAACATGGCCAGATTTGAGACTCATGGGGTCATAAACATTTCAAATAAACCTTAATAATTATTTTTTTTGACGATTTAGGAAGCATATGATCTATAATATATAATAGTTTTTAATAATTTAGAGACTAAGACGAATGTTTTATCCGGCTGTGTCCAGAATTGGTTCCGTTTAGAAACTAAAGTATCCAAAATCACGTCGAAATGTAAAAAAAATTCAACAAAATTCAAAGGGTTGTATTATCAACCTGATTATCAACCCAGTTTCAGTTTCATTGCTTATAGAAAAGTTTGATCTACAATGGATCTAAGGTATCAAGAAAACTTTCCCAAAAACTTTTAATGATTGGTTTCTTAGAAGATTTGAGATTTGATACCTCAGATTTGACCGTGACGGTGGAAACAGAGGATCTGGGTTTAATATCCGACATGATCGGTTTACTTGTGCCTGTGATCTTCTTCTTATCCTTAAAAGACGGATCGATCTTGACTCTGGAAGGAAGAGAAGAAGATCCGCCGCGTTGCTCGCTCTTAACCGAACTGGGTCTCGTCTGTGTCGCCATAAAAAAAGATCCTGAGATTCAGCTCAACTACTTTTTTTCTGCTCGAAGAAACTGATAACGATTCTTAGAAGGAGAGATCCGACAAAGTCTTGCCGCTTTCGTAGTTATGTAATGAAATGGTAAAAATTGAAAAGTTAAACATGAACGGTTCTGCTGTTCCGTTTTAACGGTAGTTTTAAATTTACGCGAGGAGTTAAATAATTTATCACGCGCCATCGGATACTATCTCCATTTGCGCAAGTTATTGGAGTTTTATTCTATTATATCTTTAAAGTCACTTTTATTTTATAAAAGATTTTTCTATGGATTATTAGAAAAGGAAATAAATCCACTTAAAATATGTAAAAAGAAACATTTGTACATCTCAAAATATATTTTACCATGAATTTTTTAAAAGAAATTGATATACTCATATATTATTATTGTTTTTATAAGCTTCTTAAAATAGTATATCAATGGATGTATTCTTATATAATATTTAGTTTTTTTTGTCATCATATATTAATTAGTTTTTTAAAACAAAAGAAGAGTACACTTTTATTATAATAATTTTGACTGAGAAATTATTAGTTATTTTTCAAGTTTGAGAATCCAGTTATTTTTATATTATTTTACTGTATTATGTTTTGAGAAACTCAATAATCAACAACAGCAAATACTTGGTAAGCTTCTCAAACAAATATAAAAAAGTATGTTGTATTTTCGACTTTTATAAAACTGTTAGCCCAATAAATGATGAACAACTATTGATTAGAGTTCTTTGATTTGTTTTGTTCAGGTTCTCATCCAATATATTGGATTTGTTCTCTCGTACTTTTTTCTATTTATCATTTATTTTGATAAAATGTTTGAGAATCTACAGTTGTGGATACTCTTAAACCTCGTAATGCGAATGTTTGAAATAAATCGAAGTAACACATTTAGAGCATCTTCAATTAAGAGTTTTTTTACTATGAAATTCTTAATATATATATATATTAATATTTAATCAGAATAATTTAATGTTATGAGAATTCAATCCAAAATGTGTTTCTCAAAAAGTTGAGATATCCATAATTAATACTATTATATACTATTATACTATTATATACATGTATATATATTGTGAGAAATTTATGACTTAAATACAATATAACCTCTTGAAATTAATACTTTATAAATTAATTAATATACACTAAAAATATTTATAAAATAATATAATTTTATAGTATTAAATTGAGTTTTTGGTTCAATTAGTATTTTTATTTATTAATAAAAATTTATAGTTTTGGTATAGCTCCGTCCGACATTAATTTATATAGGTTTCAGTACTACTTCAATAAGATTGATCTTACACGGCTAATTACCAACCAACAGGACACCTAAATCAAATTAACTATACAATCTTGGGTTTTTTCATTACATGAATGTATTTATATTTTTTAAATGAAAATCAAATAACAATCAAACTTTCAACTTCCTCAACATGGCCGTTGACTCGTGCCAACCCCATTATCCTCATCAACATAAGGAGCAAGATTCAAGTAACAATCACCGTTGTTCTTGTTATCACCAACAACATTGGGACTCTTGCTAGACCTATTGACTCGCCACCGTGAACGGCAAACCACGCAGCTAGCCGGCCGCCGTCCTCGACTCGTCGTCCTCCACTTCAGCATGCATTCTCCATGCACTTTGTTCTTGCAAACTCTACACTTCACCACCGCTCTTTCTCCCTCCTCGCGTCCAACATATTCACCGGTTACATTTCTATTGACGTTTATATCGTCTAGACATATTGGACATGTCGCTGCTTCTTCTTCCATCTCATTTTCCTATATTTATAATCCCAACAAATAATCAATGGATGTAAGATATTTTGTATAAGGAGTATTAAATATAAAAAGGGTATAATAATCTTAGAAAATCTTTGATAAATTTTAAGAAACCATATTAAAAAGGTAGCCACAACTATAAGTCTAACCATTTGTGTTATTTCCATTATACACATCGTAATCCTAGTTCCAACATTCGCCCTTTTCGTGATTTTTGTAACTATTTTTCAGTGATATTTTTTGAATGCTTTCATTTCATAAAATGAACACAAAATTAAGGAATAAGGAAAGCAAAAAAGAGAGAGTACCAGTTCACGGGTGGATGAGGAGGAGCTAGTGTTGCCGTGATGAGAATTGACGGTGGAGTAAAGCTGAAGAAACCGTTGCTGGAGGTGGATACTAGCTAGACATTCCGGTCGTGTCTGAGCGGAAAATAGACGGAAAAGGAGACAGGGCCTGAGTCTCCTTTGCTGGAGACACTTATCATCGAGGGGAATGCCAAGAACTCGGATTAAGACAAACAAGATGTGCTTGCATGGCTTCTTACGGTCGGGACAAGTGCAAGTCGGTGTTGCTGCTAGCGTCACGGTGTAGACGTTACAAGTGGCACCGAGTACGTGAAAAGTGTCGGCGTTAGGACGGTGGAGGAGAAGGATCCGATGACGTAGAGCTCGAATTATCCTATCCGCCACCGGCTGAGCCAAGATACGCCGTTGGTGTCTGTAACTGACATATGTCGATATGTGATTGAACCCGACTGATTCCATAATTGGTTATAAGAATTCCGTTACGACAGTTAGACGTTATGTGTTCTTCATGTTATATGTATAGTTACTTATACACGTCATGTAGGAGAGATTCCTTGTACCGAACGATGAGACACGCATGGAATAACGGCGACGTGTTGGAGATATCAAAGACGACGTTAAAGGGAAGGGAATGTTTTTGTCTAATTTACCAAAGAAAAACCATACGGAAGCTTAGGCCAGACTAATTATTTGGATTATGGTTTAATATGGTTTGATCTAGTCAAACTTAGTTCAATAAACTGATTTAATATTTTTTAATAAAGAAATTTTGAAGTAAAGTTAATAAAAACAAATTATAATTAATATATTAATAAATATCAAATATAAACATTCTAAATACAAACTACTAGGTGTTTTGCCCTCACGTGCGGGCTTAATTATCTTTTAATCAATTTTAAAATCATCATAATAAATAATTATTTGCATCCAAAAAATTTGACCGAAAACATTAAAATTTTCTACGTGATAAAGTTATTCACAAATTAAAAAAAACTATTTTTTTCCCTTAAAACTTTGAAAAATTTAAAGTTTATTTCATTTCTTCTTAATTGATAAAAAATATAGAAATCTATCTTTCCATTTGAAAAATTGAATCAATAAATATACATTCAAAAATTAATCGTACAAAAAGAATAATATTAGTTTAGATAATAATACAATATATTTGAATTTATTTTTATCAAACACGTATTTTCTTTCTTTTTAATGATCTTTATTTTATATGATTAATTCATGTTTAAGGTTTAACTATATAAAATATAAATATAAATTTAGTTTAACGTGAGAGTTCAGAAAAATAACTTCACAAATATATACATATATCATTATATTATTATATTATTTTAATAAATAATTTTGTACTATATTTTTTTTTAATTTTCTCTTTTGAATTATATAGAATTAAAAATTTTATTTTATATATACTTATTTATGTGTTTTTTTGAATTTTTTTAAATTAATATATTTTCGGATAACAACACAATATATATAAGAATTATCTTTTTCTTTTAAATAAATATTTAGATTATGAATAATTCTATTATTAATTTAAATCATTTATCTAATCAAATAAGTATTAAATTCGTTTTTATTTTTGGCTAATTTATATATTTTATTCATTAAGGATATAATCGATATTAACCATTCTCACTTTTAACGTGAGAGCTCTATTGCGAAAAATCACTTCGCAAATAATAGTATAGATTCTTTTGTTTATATGGTTTATTTTTAGTGGTTTTTGTTAAGTTTGATAATTTTGAAATCTAATCCGACTAGCTATATGATTGGTTCATGGTCGAACCAATTATTACCCTGTGGCCAGTTTACAGTTGAACCTGGTCCCACCATCGGGTCGATCCGGTTCTAAAACACAGAGAAAAACCAAGATTAGACGACGTGTAGTTTACTGTAAGCAGTGTTGCACAACATGCCATTTCTTTTTCATGACTTTTGTCCTTAAAGAAACGATGTCGTTTGGGTTAAACCTCGTGAAAACCCGTCTTCTCCCTCACACTTAAACCTAGAAACCAAAATCAACTTCACAATCGGCGAAAATGGCTTCACGATGTCGATCTCTGTCGAAGCCAGCGTTTACAATCTTCAGATCGGCAACCAACAAACCCTCTCTCCGACCCAAATCAGCTTCCTCATTCCTCGGCGTACCTCCATCGCCTGGACTCGCAAGGTTAACTATCTCATCTGACTCCTCATCTATTATCCTCATAGCTCTCTGGTTCATGGGTTTGCTTCAAGTTTTTGCATTTTTCTAAGGGATTTAGTTTTGTATTTTGAACAGGCCGGCGATTGGTCAGCTGGGGTCGCTTCAATCGCTGCTTCCATTGTACAGCGCGGTGGCATCAGCTAGGCTTACATCGTGCCTTGGTATCGATTCTATGAGTTCAAGGTCTTTGTCTCAGGGTATGCTCTGCAGTGCCAATCCAGGAGTTTGATATTCTTCTTTTGTGTGTTTTGTATTTTTATCTGTAAGCAACTCTTTATTGTTTTGACTCTTATGTTTGAATTTACATGTTTGTCATGTCTCAGTTAGAGCTGTTTATTTCACTCTAAATTCAAAGTATTATTGCTGTTTCTCGAGTTTTCATTCAGTGTACTAGTCCTTTTTTTGTTTAACTGACTTTTAGTACTTGTAGAGACTTAAGTTCTTTGGTCAGTGGTCTTAACATAAACACAAATCGATTCTGGTTTTTGAACTAATTGGTTTTGGCATAAGAATCTTGGTATTGGTTTGAATATGAAAGATGCCATGTTGGTGATATTTCTCTTTTTGTTTAACTTATACATTATGTATTTTTTTTATGATGGCCAAGTGTGCTAATCTGTTTTTGGTATCTCTTATGATCCTTGCAGAGCTTGGCTTAAGCGTGCCTCGATAATAGGACCTGGACTCAAGAATATGGATTCACTTGAGATTGGATTCCCCCACTGTTTTTTTGTTTCTTTGCTGGTCTAGTTCAGTCACTCTGATCAGTTTCTATTTGTCTTGTTGATGAACACTCTCTTTTCTTTTCATCCAATTAAGTCTACAATTTGAATTGGAATATGTACTCTTCAAATCATCAAAGGTTAAACAATTATAGTCTTTGTGTTCTTCGTCTTCCTTTGATACTCTATTATTAATTCAAGCTTTTCATTAAAAAGAGTAGTTTTTATTTAAATTTTCAAGTCCTTTTCAAAATGAGAAAGTACTTGTCAAGTCTTTTGTATTTGTTTGGATATATAGGTTGTGGCAATTATAGGATATGCAGCGTGACAAATGAAACCAACATCATGTACATAAACGCCTCGCCGTTTCTCACCATGTAAAACAACGTGACGTCTACCATCTTTTCAGACCTTTTTTTTTTGTAACACATTCAGTCACAATGTTTTTAAACCCAACCCAGACACTGAACCGGATACTTTGCCGGGTCACCGGTTTATTGGATCAACAGGCAAACCACGGGTCAATACGTTAATTAATTTTAATAAATAAATATATATATATATATTAACTATTAAAAATATAGGAAAAATTTCACAGTTCTTAAAACCAAAGAAAATATTTAAATTTACTCTCTTTATTTTTTTTTCACATATAAAATATTTAAAATTAGATTAGTTTATTTCATAATATTTTATAAAAAAAAATAGGAGTTGAGACGTATAGTATATCATAACAAGTAAATCTCATAAATTTTAGATATCTATCATTATTTAATATATTTTCTTTAAGAGGCATAATGCAATGTTCATCAAAATCAATAAAGTTTTTGGTAAATATTATATATGATTTTTCAAAATTAAATAAGATCAATAAATTTAATGAACAAAAAACATTTATTTATCAACATGCGAAATCAAGAAAATAAAATAAAAGCATGTGATTAGAATAAAATGAAATTTATATGATAAAAGTTAGGCCTATAAATTAATATCAAAATTTATTTACCATATATAAAATCAACAAAAATTTTAAAAGAAAATTGAAGGAGATATAGAGTATATGTGATAGCACGAAAAACTATAATTTATGAGAAAACTAAAAATTAGAAACTAAAAATCTAACTTCTTATTTTGGGTACACAAAAAATATTTAATAAAATAGTTAAAAACATAACAAAAACTAAATAAAAATAACTCAGTGGTTCACCTGATGGTTTAACCGATAGCCGGGTCACCGGGTTTCAGGGTTTTTAGCGGATTTTATCGAATTTTAAATTAGTGGATATATCTTAAAATCCAAACTGGATTACTTATCGGATCATCGGGTTTAGCGGTGGGTCGGGCTTGAAAACACTGCATTCAGACCATCTTGTTCTTCTTGTCTTAAACTCACAGAGCTCTCCACGATCCCCTTGGAAACAAACTCGCAACAATAAAAAAAAAATGGAGAAGAAACGTGAAGGAGTAATCGAAAGAACGAGCCAGATCGTATCAGATCCATACTACTTCCTCCATTTCATGGCCTTCTTCTCCTACCTTCCGATCCGAAGCTCCATCGCACACTACACATCTCACCGTCTCTTCGACAGAGAAGTCCAAGCCTTTCTTGCTTTCCTCATGTTCTCTGCTATAAAGGTTCAAACTTTACACTCTTCCACACTTTGAAATCGGATTACAAAGTCACATACTTTTTTGATCGGATTTGTTGATTTGATAGATGGTTAGGGAGGAAACATGGGAGGCTTTCGTTGCAGATAGCTTACTCTATGCTAAGATCTTTCTCATTGGTGTTTCGTTGGTTATGGATTATCGTGTTGCGGTTTGGTTCTCTGTCATCTTTTCAGGTTGGTCTTCTTTGTCAAAACAAAAGCTTTTCTGAGTTTCAATATATATATCTTGCTAAGTTTTGATCTGAATGTTTCAATGTGCAGTTGTATATCTTTTAGCTCAACAGCCAGCGTTTAGTAAGTTAGGTATGGTGAAGATGACCAGAGTCCTTTGCTTTCTGTGAAATTTTTGGAGTCAAAAGTTGCATTGTTGTTTATAAGATTGGTTAAAATGTTTTGTAGGAACTGCAAAGAAGCTAACACCTATGCAGTTGGAGGATTTGCTATCAGATGGGACCACAACTAAATACTGGTTGGTATGTGGTTACTGGCTTTCTCTTCTTCTACTTGTTAATGTTGTTTGTTGCTTTTTTTCCTAATTAATGAGGTTGTGAGCTTTGATGACTCATCCTGATTAGTGAACAAATCAGACCTGAACGAAACGATTTTTACAGAACAATATTTTTTAATCAGTGATCCCATATAAAGCCAAAACTAGTCCCTAGTGATTTTTTGAACATTGGAGAAAACATTGAGTAGTTTTTAGGTAACTGAAATAATGTTCTTAATCAGTGTATCCTTTATTTTTATGAATTTAAATTTTGCCTTTTTGTGTTTCTACTTTAATGGTCAATCAATAAAGAAACAAAACTGATCTGCAACATCTTAATCGGTTAAACCACATATGACATTGTAAAATTTGGCTCGGAAGGATATTGTGCTAGCTACTTTTTATGATGATGTGACTTTTCACACCTTTTGCAGATAGAATTCTATGCATGTAGTTCATCCAAGTGTGTTCGTTCAAGCCGCTGCTTTCCAGAGCTCTCCATCACGTAAGCTTTGTGTTAGAAAACATTATCCCATTTCACTGTTTGTCTCTTAAGAAGAGACACACTCACACTTGTTCAACTCTTCAGGTACTCGAATAATCTCCTGTCTTTTGGAACCATCGATCTTGGACTTTTCCCTAATACTGCAGCAAAGTTTGGAATATCTCTTGCCGGTAATAGTCCCTTCACTAACTCAAAAATCACATCGAGCTTCTGTTGTGTGAAGCAACTGATGTGTTGTGTAACATGTATAGGTGGAATGTCTCAGCTTCCTACATACATATTGTTTGAAAAGGGTGTAGAAGTTTCTCGGTTCCCAGACTTTTATGTTGACGCTACACCGTCTTTACCCATAACCAAGGTTGGTTTACATGCTTCTTTACATAAGTAGATTTCAATGGTTGCATTGCTTCTCTTATGGCATTTTTGTTGGTATGAAAATCCCTTAAAAGAGATCCTCTTATTGTTGATGCTGCAGAAACTTCTGTGTCAACATTTTGAGCTTGATCGGCTTCTGCTTGACTACATCAACGGATCATAGCCAAAGAAAACGATTATAGACGACGGTTTGTAGATGGTTCCACGTGAAAAGAGAAGTATGTACCATCGCGCATATAAGAGGCAAACATTTTGGTCTCTCGCATTCGTTTTTATAAAGGGCATTTTTTAGTGAGGCGCCCCTGAGTAAACGATATACTGTTTTTGTGTTATAGAGAGATAAGAAGATTATGCTAAAAAGTTCTTGAATTTGATTAATGTTTAATGAAAACTTCAGAGTTTTTAGTACCTTTCGTTTTCAGTAAGTTTTTTTACTCTTTGCTTGAAGTGCTTATAAAACAAAACCATCATATATTTACATTGGCAGATTGTGGAAGATGGTTGGATATATTTGCATAAACAGCCAATTTTGATGTAATTTTGCAATTGTATTCAATTAATTTGACCATTTATTTTGTGACAGTATGATCTTATATTTTTTGTATAAATATCAAATATACTACTATGTGAGTGAAATGCGAGGGTCTCTATGATATAAAAAAAAAAAGGTCAACAAATGACATAAAAGGTGAAATTTTGAACGTAGGAGTTGGTGAAAAAAGTCGCATATATTTGGAGTCAAGAGGATTCCTTCTATATATCTTTTTTTTTTGTTCAAACTTCAATTTATAGATTTTACTCTCCTATATATGTTCTAGAAAATGAGCTTTTATGGACTGTAAACGCGTGTGGCACATATTAGTTTACTTTTTTGTGTAAACACAAGAAAATAGGTTTGGACCGAACAAACAAATAAATTGGTCAAACTGAAAAGTCAGAGAGAGAGACAACAAAAATATACGAGCAGCTAGAGTTTTGATGATGGGAAACCATATTGTTGCTTTCGTACATGTCAAATGAAATTGTTCACAAATTTGCAAACAAAAGAAAGGGAAAAAAAGAAACTATTATGATCCCAAATTCCCAATTAATGAAGATGGTCTGATAATTTTATGTATTGCAATATTGTAATTTATTTAAAATTTGTATTTGGTTGTGTTTTTATTATTTTATATGTAATGTTACATTGATATAAATAAAACAGTTGTTAAAAAAAAAATGAAGATGGTCTGATACGGCTGCCAAATTTGATCATTTGACCTCAACCTCAAATACAATAATGTTTCATTCTGATTGTCAGTGCGTACAATTATCTTCTATATTAAAAGAGAATTACCATTTATATCTACTACACAAAAGTCATTTTGGACCATTTCATTAATATGACATATTTGATTATTTATATTAATCAATCAAATATATATTACTGGAAAAATATTTTATTTTTATTTAATATAGAAGATAAGATATTAGTAGTAAATCAATTTGAATATAAATTTATATTTTAATTTTATTTATAACTAAATCTGTTGAGAAAATATCTAACATGATCTTACCAAGAATTTTAAATATTTTTATAAAATNTAGTAGTAAATCAATTTGAATATAAATTTATATTTTAATTTTATTTATAACTAAATCTGTTGAGAAAATATCTAACATGATCTTACCAAGAATTTTAAATATTTTTATAAAATATATATTATTTAATTTCGTGATTAATATATATATATATATATTAATGTTAATTAAAAATAAAAATTGGTATATTTTATAATTTAATAATATTGTATTTTATATTAAAATAAAAATGCTATGTGAAATGAATCTAAAAGTATATTAAATTGGTAAAGAAAAATATTGTATTTTAAAAATTTCTTTTATTCTCTGTTAAAACATTAATTTTTTAAAAACATGTAATATTTTTATACAAAAAAAGTTAACATATATTTTTGTAACTCACAACAAATACATTATCTAATATATATATATATATATATGATTTTTTTTTAAAAATTACAACAATATATTATATAAAATAATTAAAATAATAAGATTATATAGTTATAGAATATATAACAATAAAATGTAAATCATATATTTGAAAGATTTTGTTATATTTTTATAAAATAAAAAAATTACCCGCACGGATGTGCGGGTTCAAAATCTAGTTATCATTTATTTTAAACATTATGTAACCAACTAAATAAAGAGAAATGACCATGTATATTATATACTAGGATCGGCCCGCCCTACGGGCGGGATATATTTTACTTTTTATCTAGATTTTATTTTTTTGTTTGATTTTATGGTATGTATTTTAGGTTTTCATTTGTAAGAAATGTTATGATAATGATTTTTTGTATTTTATAAAATTTTAAGTGAGGAGAGATTATATATTATAATATATTTTTTGTTTGTTTAGTAAAGTTGTTTATATATTCAAGAGTTGTGGCATTGATATGTTATAACGATTTCAATGGTTTTCATATTTTTTAAAAAAAAAATTGATTCTATATTCAGTGTATTATTTGTAGCGTGCAATATTTTGGATTCAAAAGGATTGGATTATGGGTAATTTTGTGTATGTTATAAGAATAATTACTTCTATGTTGAAATCATAGTTTTCTAACATGTTTCTAGAGTGGGACTGGTGATTATTTGAACTTACATTTCTTAGTAAAAATATAATGTTATATTGAGTGTGAATATGGTAATGCAAAGAAAATAAAACAAAGCTAATCAAAATAAGAAAACATTGAAAATATAAAATGTGAAAACTGGGTTGTGGTCAATGAGTGTAAGGCACTTGTTAGTCACCGTACAACTAACTCCAAGAACTTTTCCATTTATTTATATCAAAAACAATCGATGTATCGATTTTCCAGATTATTGAGATGGCGCTTTTTGATGGAACTACACAGATTATATTAATTTCATTACCCTTTTTTCAATACAGAGATGTTGCATAAGCAACGTTTTATCTATCTCCAGCATTTCAGCACCAGACATGTCGTTTTAACGTTCATGACGATCCATAAATTTCATGCATTTTTCATGTTCTTATGTGCATAACAAAATTATAGCATAGAGATAGTTACCTTTACCACAGTTTGTTGGTTGCCAATATGCAAATATGTTTTAACCTTGTTGAGATTTGTTTCATTGTCAGAAAAAATTGTTTTTCTAATATTAATTCTTGTACAGAAATAAAAATTGCATAATAAAATAATTATAAATCCTAATTTATTTTCAGTTAAAATATTTCTCTATTTTAATTGCATTTTATTATTTATATTAATATTTACTCTAGATATAGTTGTTTCATCATTAAAATTTTATCAAAACTGTAATTGTTTAACTTTTGCGCCCAATATTTGTTCTATTTTAACTTTGCTATTAAGTAAAGTGTTTTAAAACTGTACTCGACTATGTTCAACACATAAAACATGAATTAAATTTTCTATTGAGAAGAGAAAACAACTTGTAATAAAAATCTTAAACAAACACAAATTATAACTCGAGCTGAACTAAATACAAAAAGGAACCGAGATACACTCAGTAATTTCACGTGGACAACACGTACGTTTTTAAGTGCCACTGTCAGTTGCTGGATTTTACAGAAATAACAATTGCATTGTGCACGTTCATATTCTTTTTGGATAAAGAATTACCATACTTTTGCTCTATGACCAATTGATCACCTTGGTTTTTGTGGAAAAGCAAAGCTTGGTCTTTCAGTTTCTTTTCTTCTCTTTCCAGCAAGAGAAAGTTCCGAAGCTTCTTCTCCTTGAATCTCATTGTCAAGCATCGTTCTGATCATAGGAAGAAGTTAAATCCATCTGCAAAAAACAAAAACATTATAAACACTTAAAATTCTGCAAAACTTGAGTCTTTTATCTATAAAGAGTTTTTGTGCATATAGGAAAAACCTGAGAGAGTCTAAAATTTTTACAAACTTGTGCAAGTATTGACACCAGGATAATATAACCATTGATTTTGATTGGAGATCTGGTCTTCACTCCAAATCTCGGTCCAAAGTTTATAAGTTGTTTATTAGTTGTTTTGAGAAATTGATCTCGCAAGCTATTGTTTTATATAAAAAATCTACATAGACTCTTCTTACGTAGATCATGTTCAAAGGTTTGTTTATACTGACCTGCTTCTGTGTCGTGAATCTCTGGCTCCGTCCCCTTTCACTCTGACTCTACAATCCTGGATCTGGCTCTTTCTTCTCCAGCTGATCTCTCACCGTCACCACCTCCTGATGCACCTGTCGATGAGTAATCTCTGACACATAGGAACAAAACAAATAAAAGTGCACCAGCTAACAGAAATAAATGGAAAAAAGAATGAATAAAAAAGGAGGTTTAAGCAATCAATACCTGGGAATACATCTATGTTTTGTATATCCATTTGAAGTAGGGATGGTGGCTGATGATCATCATGCTTCCCTGGTAAACATAATAAGGAACTACATATACATGATATGAAACTTTAAAAGAAGAATCTGAAAATAATATTACCTCAAGTTTTGAAATGAAACTGTGCCTTCAAACACTCTGAATATTTCTATTAGTTCATCTTATGCTGATTCCTAAATCAAATTTCATTTGTAATTTTTTATTATCTGAGCTCGTTGATTAGTCTTCACTGTAACTTAAAGGTTTTAGTGTATACATACTATACCTGAGAGTTGTTCTGGACCATTATATCGATGTCTCCATTTCCATCAAACGTAGGTAAACAACGATCATCATCTCCCAAAGTTCTACCTTTTGATTTTTCCACATCGATTTGATGACTTTCTTTAGTTTCTTCTTCGTGATGAACCCTGTTTCTCACGAACAGCATATATAAATATCTGCTAATCCATCTTATTATCAGTTCCATGGTCTGTTCATATAAAAAGTTGTATTTTGAGTAAGACCAAAGTAAACAACGACATACCATATGAGTCTTTGTCGATGAGACAGAAAACTTCGTAAAACTCTTGGTCTGCTCATCGGTGAAAGCTTTCTGCCATCTTCGATCACAAACAGAAAAAAGAATCCATGAGTTAGCAATTTCACAGAAAATAGATGAACTTTGGTGTTTTCACGGAATGAGTAGATGATATCGGAGTGAAGGAGGTTAACCTTTGTATAACATATCGGGTGATGAGGAGTGGGAGATGCAGTTGATGAGGGCGATCAAGGCGACGATTGGATGAATCTAATGACCATAACGTTACTTGGAATTAAGTCATGTGAGATTTCGTTTTAATGATAACCAAATTCATACCTTGATGACCCCGTAGTAATCGCTTGAATACCAAATATAGATCCCAAGATCTATATTCCTTGAATATAGATCCCAAGATCTTGCTGATTCCCAGCATCTTAAACTCTCAATCATTCCTTTGTATCCGAAGATCAATCTAGGATCTGTGAGATCCCGTCTCCAAAGTACTCCATGTCGATTCTGTTTGATCCCGCACCTACCATCCTGATACAAATCAGTTTCTCTCCAGATCCATGATGAAGCAAAGAAACGCAAGCGTGCTGGAGGAAGAGCACGTCTTTGTGTTAACCTAGACACTATCGGACCAAAATATTGGAAGCCCAGAATAACAATGTGATAGCCCAAACCAAAATGACAATCTGACGTGGACTTTCCTAGGTGTCATCCTACGTGGACACATTAAGGAGAGAGTTAGCTCTTCTTTATATAATAGATATGTTCAAAAAATTAGAATTATACCATAGCACCAAGTGTACAAAAAGCCTCTTATTCAATGGTTGTGCTTTTCACTCTTGTTATGAACAGATCTCTATCAAGGACCATCAATTTGAATTATGCATATTATCTAATGGACACTACTTCTATCTTTATTCTCTGATTAATCTCTAGTAAAATACTTAAAAATGGGAAATTCTACAGCTTACAAAGTTTAATCACATAAGCAGAAGATAATGAACTGTATCTAATGTAGATACGCTATTTACTAAACAAATGCACACATAAACACACTTGCAATAATCATTAGCCTAAATTGAATATGATTTTAGTGTAGTTGTTATAAAAATATTACAGTAAGTTGTTTTAAAAAGAAAATAAAATGAGGTAATGGAAGAAGAGAGGGGACCTACCCAAGGGTAGAGGATGCTCCGTCCACGTTCTTCTCATTTTGACAATCTTAACGACTTTTCATTTTTCTCATTAGAAAAATGATCATCTTCCTCAGGCCTATATAAGCTCACGATCCTCCTCTTCTCAGTTTCATCATTCATTACAAAAATCATTAAAGCTCATTATTTTCCTCCGTAAATCTTGCTAATTTGCTGTGTTAACTCATAAGAAAGAGAGATATGGGAAGTACTCCAGCTGAAGTACCCTGCGACGTTGTTTCCGACAACAGATCCGGCCTAGGAGGTGGGATCGCCGACGTGTACGGTGAGGATTTAGCCACCTTGGATCAGCTCGTCACTCCTTGGGTTTCCTCCGTTGCCAGGTTAGTAGTGACTCATCATTCAACAACGACCTTAGAATCTTTAGAAAAAAGAAAGATTTAAAGAGATTTAATTGTGGTGGGAATGAAACTATGTTTGCAGTGGATACTCGTTGATGCGTGACCCAAGATACAACAAGGGACTTGCTTTCACTGATAAAGAGAGAGATGCTCATTACTTAACTGGTCTTCTTCCTCCTGTTGTCTTAACCCAAGAAGTTCAGGTAAATTTTTCGTGTGATTTACTTTACATACAAGAAAAAGCAATGTTCTAAAAATCACTAGGTTATTGCCGCTTTTATTAAAATTTCATTTATGCGATTCAAATCGGTTTAAACCGTTCTAAATATGTTGAAATTGGTCTAAATCGATATAAATTGGTCTAAATCTGTTTAATCAAGTAATAATGTTAGTGAAATCACAAATTTGTCTAATTTATTTTTATAATTTATCCAAATAATTTTATAATTAGACACCAAAAACTAAAAATATCTAATATATAAATGTAAAAAAAAAAATAATGACATCAATATTAGTTAAGGCCTATGCCCCCAAATAAGCAGCTAGTTGCTAGTCATCTATAAAAGCACTTACCATAACATTGAAAAAAATGACCAACCTTTGATTTTGGGTTTGTTTGTGTGTTAACTTGTGGTTTTTTTTTTTTTTTTTTAATTAGGAGAGGAAGCTGATGCACAATCTTCGCCAGTACACTGTTCCTCTACAGCGTTACATGGCCCTCATGGATCTTCAGGTGATTTGATTGTTCCCTCATGTTTGGTAGTAGTAGAGAATGTGTCCAAAAATTTGTTCACTCATGTATATGAATTGTTGCAGGAAAGGAACGAGAGGTTGTTCTATAAGCTTTTGATTGACAACGTGGAGGAGTTGCTTCCAGTTGTGTACACACCAACAGTTGGTGAGGCTTGCCAGAAGTACGGTAGCATTTTCAGGAAGCCACAGGGTCTCTACATCAGCTTAAACGAGAAGTATATCTTCATTAAATCTCTCTCTCTTTTACCATTTTTGTTTCCTTAAAAGATACTCTAAAAGTGAATGTATGTTTCTATAGAGGAAAGATTCTTGAAGTGTTAAAGAACTGGCCTCAGAGAGGGATTCAAGTTATTGTTGTTACTGATGGTGAGCGAATTCTCGGTTTGGGAGATCTTGGTTGCCAAGGAATGGGAATTCCAGTAGGGAAGCTTTCTCTTTACACAGCCTTGGGAGGAATCCGTCCATCAGCTGTAAGAACCAGAACACAAACTTGCAACACTTTTGTGCATAGAAATGATATGATTATGTTTTTAAGTAATTGTTTTGATCTTAAATTGCAAAATGTAGTGTCTTCCAATCACTATTGATGTGGGTACAAACAACGAGAAGTTGCTGAATGATGAGTTCTACATTGGTCTTAAACAAAGAAGAGCAACTGGCCAGGAATATGCAGAGTTTCTACATGAGTTCATGTGTGCTGTGAAGCAGAACTATGGAGAGAAAGTGTTGGTACAGGTGAGAACCAAGAAACATGATTTTGTTTTTTTTTTGTTAGAGATGTTGATGTCCTGTTTAATAATATCATTACATATTGTTCTTTATCAGTTTGAAGATTTTGCAAATCACAATGCGTTTGACCTTCTGTCTAAGTACAGCACGAGTCATCTTGTCTTCAACGACGATATCCAGGTAAAAATATTGATAGTTTCTTACATTTTGGTTGGGAGTGTCAGAGAGAGGTAATGATATCAAGAACTTGTTTTGGTGTTTGCTTTAATTGCAGGGTACTGCATCAGTGGTGCTTGCTGGACTTATTGCTGCTCAGAAGGTGCTTGGTAAAAGCCTTGCTGACCATACCTTCTTGTTCTTGGGTGCTGGAGAGGCTGGAACTGGTATAGCTGAGCTAATTGCTCTTAAGATCTCTAAAGAGGTAAGTAAATCTTGTGAAATTTCTAACATCTGTGCTCTGTTTTTGGGCTAAGAATTTGTGATTGTGTTGTAGACTGGAGCTCCCATTGATGAGACCCGTAAGAAGATTTGGCTCGTGGACTCCAAGGTATTATTGTTGACAACCACCACTTAGATCAGTCTCTTCTTCTGTAGCTTAAACCTTTCTTGATTACTTATGAACCTCTTTTGAACTTTCTTTTGCAGGGACTGATCGTTAGTTCGCGCAAAGAATCGATTCAGCACTTCAAGCAGCCATGGGCTCATGAGCATGAACCTGTCAAGGACCTCATTGGTGCAGTGAATGTACGTTGTGATGAGTTCATCTTTAAAATCACTTGATGTTACTTTTTTTATATTCTTGTATTCACTCTTTGTTTGTGAAACAGGCAATTAAACCAACTGTTCTCATTGGAACCTCTGGTGTGGGTCAAACTTTCACACAGGAAGTTGTTGAAGCCATGGCTACCAACAACGAGGTTTCTTCTTGTTCCTTACTCTTTGCTCTCTCAAAACCAAAAATAAAAACAAGCTATCAATGTCATTGCTCTAATGCTTTGTAGATACCGTTGATTCTTGCACTCTCAAACCCTACTTCTCAAGCTGAGTGTACCGCTGAACAGGCTTACACATGGACCAAGGTATATTCATGTCCTGATTATAACAAAGTGTTGTTTGGATTTGATGCGGCTCTCATGTTTGATAATTGACTTATATGCTTAAAATAGGGTCGTGCAATCTTTGGTAGTGGAAGCCCTTTTGATCCTGTTGTGTACGATGGCAAAACTTACTACCCTGGACAGGTTTGTGTTATTTCCATATTATTTGTTTTTTTTGTGACAACCTGAATGCTCAACTCTAATTCACTTCACAGGCAAACAACTGTTACATTTTCCCGGGTCTAGGTCTTGGTTTGATCATGTCCGGTGCTATTCGTGTCCGTGATGACATGCTCCTTGCAGCATGTAAGTATACAAATCACTTCCTCGAACATATTCTGCTTGTGCACTAGACCATAGATGCTGCAAAGTTGATTAGAAATTATTAGATCTTGATCTAACTGGTCTCTCTATCTATACTGTTTTATCAACAGCTGAAGCATTGGCCGCCCAAGTCACAGAAGAGAATTTCGCCAACGGTTTGATCTACCCTCCATTCTCAAACATCAGAGAGATCTCTGCTAACATTGCAGCCAGTGTCGCTGCCAAAACCTATGAGCTTGGTTAAGTCTCTATTCATTTCCCTTCGTTAATGAAACTGTCTTTCAACTCTTTAACACAAGTTGCTGATGATGATGATATATAAATTTGTGGTGTGTATAGGATTGGCATCGAACCTGCCACGTCCAACAGATCTGGTGAAGTTTGCTGAGAGCTGCATGTACAGTCCTGTCTACAGAAACTACCGTTAAAAGAAGTTTTGCTAAAGAAACCTGCAGATTCTTATCGTATTCACAACATTTATAGTTCTTGAGAGGCTTTGTATAAGTGTTATTGTTGTTTGTTTGTTTGTTTTCTACATTATGATATGTTTGAGTACTCAACTATATTGTCTTTGTTTCTTGTTTGATCAATAATAATTTAAAATTTCCAATACTTTATTGTCTTAAAAGCTACATTCTAACAACCCACACAATCAACTTTGTACTAATGGGAATATGTTTTCTCTTCTTACTCGGTTAATAAATGGAATATATAATTAGTGGAGCGTCATGCCTACTGCATACATGAGATTGACTCGTAAAATCTGTAATGATAGTTATTATAGCTGGTGGTATACTCATAGTTCTGCCAAATAATGGACACTATTACATAAACAGTAACAATATTGCAAATAAGCAAAAGAGTTGTTGGTTTGTTTAAAAACTTCAGAAACCAAAAACTAAAACCACTTGGTGTAATGAGAATTGAGAAAGAAAATACTTGTTGGCTTTGTTATGTACATGTATGTATCTGTTGGAAAAATTGGATTCTGACAAAAATTAAAAGTGGAAACTTTGGTTTATACTCCCTCCGTTTTATATTAAGTGTCGTTGTAGAGAATTTTTTGTGTTATAAAATAAGTGTCGTTTTCGGTTCTCAATGCAAAATTTATTAATTTTATTATGTAATTTATTTTTCTATTGGTTAAAATATGGTTAGGTGTATGGGTAATTGTGTTTTTATATATGAAATATGTAAAATTAATTGTTTTCTTAATCTGTGTGCATAGCTGTAGAGTGACACTTATATTGAAATAGAGGGAGTAGTTTTTATCGTACAGGTAGTATTACAAGTACAACAACCCTTCACACAACAAAGGAATTAGAGTTAAGATTTTAATTGTTGATAGTTTACAAATCTGGACGAAGTAAAAACAAAAAAAAACAAAAGTTTACAAATCTGGATAGAAAACTAGACACCAAAAGTTTACAATCAAGTTAACATAATAAAATCTGATTATTAAAAAAAAAAACAAAAAACTAGACACCAAAATATGGTTTTAACTTAACCAGTGGTGGTAGCCCAGTGGAGCTTGAGTGAATAAATCCAATAAGACGAACCTGGATTCAAACCCACTTACCACACGGATATGAATTATTGTTTTCAATTCATTTAAATGCCCATGAAAGGGTCTATCCGTGGGTTGTACTGTACCTCCATCCGAGGATTAGGTCTGTGTCTTCAATAGATCCAGGTTTAATCATTTTAATTTAAAAAAAAAGAAATATGGCTTTAACCATAGCCGCCCATACGGACGAGTTTCGGATAGTCCCCATCGGATACGGGCCAGGTCCGATTACCCACGAGTTATATTTGACATTTTGAGAAAAATTAATTACGCCACAAATCAATTTAGGAAAAAAGAAAGGGAAAGCAAAAAAAAAAAGAAAAACCATAAAAACAAAAAAGAGGAGCCATCATCCTCCCTGATCAGATCTACACATTTCTCCTCGCACCAGTTTTTTTTCTCCCTTTAGCAGGATCTGGTGGATATCGAGAATTCGAAATGGATTTCATGAAGGTCTTCGATCAAACGGTTCGAGAGATGTGAGTTTCCTCGTTCTATCTAATCTCTTCCTCTTCGATTTCGATACAAATAGAAACAGATTGTGTTTCGATTCAAATCCGGTAGATCGTTTGTTGATAATCTTCGATTAATCTCTCGTTTTACAGAAAGAGGGAGGTGAATCTGAAAGTTCTCAAGGTTCCGGAGATGGAGCAAAAGGTGAAAGCTCTTTTGATTCGTTATCCATATCTATCGTATGATTTGATAGGCAAAACTGATTGACAATCTTCTCTCCAGTTTTTAGTGATTTCACGAAAAATTATAACTAATCGTTGAATCAGTCGAGCTAGATTCTGTTATTTGATGATGCTGGAGTGTGTTTATAGCTGTTATTAGATCTCATCTTTAATAACTAAGAGTTTCGATTCAATGGATTACAAGTTAAGCGTCTTCTTAATCAATTTGTTTGTTATAAACGTATGGCTACAGGTATTGGATGCTACAGATAATGAGCCTTGGGGTCCGCATGGTACTGCATTGGCTGAGATTGCACAAGCCACTAAGAAATTGTAATCTCTCCTCTTTCACTTTATAATATCTCATTCTACTTGGAAAGGATTTTGATTGTGTATATTGCTTTCGATGGTCAGCTCGGAGTGCCAGATGGTTATGAGTGTTTTGTGGAGTAGACTGGGTGAGACTGGCAAGGATTGGCGATACGTCTACAAGGTGAGATTCTTCCTGGCAATATTTGGAAAGAATTATATTGTTTTGGTGTAACTTGAGGTGTTTTCTTTGTGTTACAGGCACTGGCGGTTATTGATTATCTGATTTCAAACGGATCTGAACGGGCAGTTGATGAGATTATTGAACATACTTACCAAATATCTGTCAGTATATCTTTTTTCTTACACATTTATAGGCCGTTTTTCATTTGTGGTTTTCTATTGACATGATTTTGTCAATGATGTAGTCACTCACGAGTTTTGAGTATGTTGAACCGAATGGAAAAGATGTGGGAATCAATGTGAGGAAGAAGGCGGAAAACATCGTTGCTCTCTTGAATAACAAGGAGAAAATCTCTGAGATCAGAGACAAAGCTACAGCTAATCGTAACAAGTTAGTTTTTTTTTTAATGCAATTGAATTTGACTGGTTTCCCGTTTTTCTTTATACGTTGCCTGAATTGGCTTTGTTGTCTCAAATTAGGTACGTTGGCCTCTCATCAACTGGAATAAGCTATAAGTCTGGTTCGGCTTCAGCTTCCTCTGGTGGTAGTTTTCGTAGTGGTTCAAGCAATTATGACAGCTACAGAGATAGGGATTCCAGGGAAGACAAGGACGACTACGAGTCTTTTCAGAAGTCAAGGCGCGGTGTTAAAAGTGATGAGCAAAGCTACACTTCGAAGAAAAGTTTCTCACGCTATGGCAGGTTTTGTCTCAACCCCCGTTGATTTACACTGATGTTATTGATTTTCGGTATATCTTCAATTTGGGAAGGTTTCTTTTCACTTGAGGATGCTCTTATGCTTTCTTTTTTTAATTTATATTGTTTTGACTCATTCTGTGGACGCTCGTTTCTGACGTTGAGCAAATTAATTCTGAATGTGCAGTACGGACCATGAAACACCATCCAGTGGGAAGAAGTCACCCGACTCTGGCAAACATAGTGCCATACCTTCAAACAACGATGATGATTTTGATGATTTTGATCCACGTGGAACTTCCAGCAATAGTATGTTTCTTTAAACCACTGCTGAACTTGCAGATTGTTTATCTTTAATTAGAGTAGAAGTTTGTTTCGGAAATTATAGCGCGTATACGTATCTCCAAGTCTTGTTCTTATCTTTTTCATTTATGCAGAGCCTTCCACGGGCAGTACCAACCAAGTGGACCTATTTGGAGCAGATCTGATTGGTGACTTTATGGATTCTGGACCAACTGAAACATCTTCCACCAACAACAACGGAAAGTTTCAAGAGGCGGACTTGTTTGCTGATGCAGCTTTTGTTTCAGCCTCTGCTCAGGGACCAGAATTTGGGTCTCAGACACAGGCGCGTGACTTCTTTCATTCAAGCTACTATACAGCTTTTAACAATTGAAAATTTCCATGATTTAGTGTCCATTCACGTGATTGCACTGTTAATTCATGACATCTTACAATGACTAGTCCTGTTAAATCATAGACTGATACTTTTCCGCATGCCTGTTTCTACAGAAAGAAGTTGATCTTTTCGCTGCGTCTGAACCTTCTGTCACAATTACTTCACCTCCTGCGACGGTTGACCTTTTTGCATCCACTGAACCAGTTGCATCCCCAGAAGCCAAGATTCCTAAACCTGAGTCTATGACCACTCCAAGCATTGTTGACCCATTTGCTGCAGTTCCTATGGACAATTTTGATGGATCTGATCCTTTTGGTGCCTTCACTTCTAACTCGGCTACGGTCTCTACAGGTCCACAGGCCCCAGTTCATGGGAGTGCAACAAACACAACAACCCCACTGTCTTCCGCAGGCTCGAAGCCACAACAGTCTCAAAAGAAGGATCCTTTCCAGGTGAAATCTGGAATATGGGCAGATTCGCTGAGCCGTGGACTAATTGATCTCAATATAACTGCTCGTAAGTCAAAGCTTCCTCCTTATGTTTTATATGAGATCACTTTCTTTCTTAAATTATATGCAATAGCCAACGCATAAAAGATTTTAGTTTGGTTTCTCTTGAACCAAATTAAATGCAGATGAAACCCAAAATGCATGGTTAATCAATTACATTCTACTTTGCAACATCCAAATTTTTAGCCCCCATAGAGTTTCCAGTACATGTAGCTTGACTTCACATAGTGTCCAGACAAATAATATGTCGTGTTTTGGATCTGAGTAATTTAATTTCCCTGTAATCAGCCAAAAAAGCTTCTCTTGCTGATGTGGGAGTTGTGGGTGGACTGAGCAATGATGAAGGGAACAAGGCAACGGCTGCTGCCTACTACTCAGGGTGGTCCATGGGCGCAGGATCCGGGCTTGGTAAAACCGGACTATACAATGCACAGCAGCAGCAGCAGCAACAACAACAAGCACCTGAAATCTCAGATGATTTCTTCTCCAGCCTTAGTAACCAAAGATACCAAACTGGAGGCTTTAAGCAGTGAAATTTCCTTGAGGGTTATCAGGTTCGGTTCTACATTCATACTGAAAATCAATGTTTTTTATTCTTAATTGGAGTTTGTTGTTCTTGCTCTTGATTGATGTGACAATCTTATCGGTGGCTTGCGTTTCAAATGAGAGAATTGTTTTTGGGAAAGAGAGTATTATTTGTTGGTTTTGAATTTTCTATCCGTTCATAGAACAACAAATTATATGTATGTCACTCGACTCTATGGAGAATATATCTATCGTGTGTGATCCTTAATCAGAATAGACTCTCAGCTTTCTTCGTAGCTTTGTTTCATTATTCTACTTTGCCTTTATCTACTAATAAAAACTAAAAAGTGACCATTATCATTCTCAATGATTTTTAACACTGCTCTTCTTATCTCTACACATTTTTGGTTGGCTCATTCATTGGTCACAAATTCATAAAAATATTGATTAATTTTATTATCGTCACAGAAATTCAGAAAAAAAATAGTTCACCAAATCCAACAGTTTGGTTCATAGACATATTGCACAAGCATAGCAAAAAAAGTACAATCAAAAAGCCAAAAGTAACTTTCTATACCTTTCAGTACCGTCTTTTTTTAGAGACTCGAGACTCTAGATTGCCATTCTCCAGAGCTTCCACGAGAGTTTCAAACTGCGTCTTCGTTACTTTAGTCAAATTAACTAATTTTTTCTGAAAAGTGTTAAAGTCTCCTACTAAAGGCTCTTTAGAATCCTCAAACACCCCCGACTCTACCTCAACGCATCTGTGGAGCCTCTCCAAATTAGACTCAGCCTCCCCTTGCACGTACTCGAAAAAACATTGCTTCTCACGTTCAGATTCAATCAGATAATATCCATAAGCATAAGTCCATTTCAGCACCCGTCTGCACTCGATGATCTGAAGCCACGCATCTGTGATGATCTTGAGCTCAGTCTTTGTTATCCCTTGTATGTCACTAAGCTTCGTAATCTTCTCCGACAAGAACACCTGAAGATCTCCAAAAGCTTTGTCCCTAGACTTTTGATTACTCGCCCATCGTTCATAATAATGAGTGTACCTCTCTAACGAGCTCTTAGCCATCTCTCGCTTCTTTTCAACCTCATCATACAGCCCTTCTCTCTTAGCCTTCTCGTACTTGTTGCATGCATTATACCCGCCGCTACTTTCCCCGTGATCACTCCATGCACCAAGGCAAAGCCAACAAAACTGATGCCTACAAGGTGGTCCGCACGTCATGTGCATGCATCCAAGGTTCTTCTCAATCGGTCGCCTACACTTGGGACAAGCCTTGGAGTTGGCAAGTATCCATTTAGTATTCTCCGCTTCTGCGTTGTTCTTGAGTATCCATTGCGAAACCGTGTCACAATCCACAGGACTGTGAGCATCTTCGTTACAGTTCCAGCAAAATCTATACGAACACAAACATGAAACATCGTAACTAACTCCACTCCGAGAAAACTCAACCGCGTGGTCACATCCTGGAGCTGGACACCACTTCATATTTTTGCTTTCTTCTATATAAGACCTAAGAAAATACCTATCGTACTTTCCCTTGTCTTCCTCCGAGACTACCTTCTCGACCATGTCACGTCCAACAGCCACGTGGCAAGACGGTTCAGGACACTTTTGTATCAAACATCCTGAACCATCGTTGATGGCTGTGCTGATGTAACCATTCCAACATGTAGAACAGAAACTATGACCACAAACAATAGGTACGATTTTTCGAGGACGAAATTTATCAAAACATATTCCACATTTAATTTTTCGACCACGAGGTTTTTCAACGAGGACAGATCCTCCTTCTAATACGCCAGCAGTTCTCCGAACTTTGTCCTCATCAGCAAACCATTCATCAGTAAGTTTACTAATAATCCAACGATAGTGAAGGAGGAGGACGCTTGCTTCTACCGTGGTTATGGAGAGGAGCATAGAGACTTGTTTTATATCATTCTCTTGTCGTATGCGTATGTCTTTTTCCTTGAGAACGACATAGTTACTAGAGGAATCGTTCACGTCTTCATCAACATATTCGGGTTCAGCATCTTCACCATGGCTGTGTTCATTATCATCATCATCATCGTAGCTGGACTGATCGTACTCTCCCGATTCGTCATCGTAGGCATCGAGCATGCCGTCATCGGAATCCATGATAGGAGAAACAACAAGACGGCACCTCAAATTAGGTTTTTGTAAAATATATGTTTGTAATTACATTATTTGAGTCTCTTTGTATTTAAAGATATTTTCCATCACGATTTTTCCTCTTTTTTTTATTAACTCTGCCACTTTCCTTTATTTTTGTTTCAATTTTTTTTTGTATTTTTGCTGATTTGATGAAAGGGGAAAATATCTGTAAATAAATATACTCTTTACTTTTCTTTGTAAATAAACATTTGCTTCTCTCTTCACATAGCACTACTTGTCTATATTATGTTCATATACAAATCTTATTCATTCATAATTTCGATTTAGTTATAATTAAATGTTTTTTTCCGCGATCATGAGAATTTAAATACATTTGGGTAAACAAGTTTATCTATATTTGAATTTATAGTACTTTTGATAAATTAATTTTGTTAATAAAAATCAATAGAAATTTTTGATTAGTCAATAAAAGAAAAATAATATAAAATTTTATTTTATTTTACTAATCATCTTAACATATGTAACTCATAATTATGAACAAGATTATAAAGAAAACTATCATAGGAGTTTTTTTTGTTTCAGAAACCAACTACCATATATAATAAATTTATTTTAGAATTTTAACTGATATCAATTATTAAGGTCTCGATTGGTAGATCTGATGATAAATCTTTTCATACTTTGTATTTTGAAAAAGAAAACATGTTGTGCATAAAACAAGAAGGTATATTTGTAAATTTAAAATATCACACTTGTAAAGATCAAATAATAAAGTGCATTAACAACTTTATATTTGCTTTATTCGAGTTAGGAACAAAAAGTATATTAAAATAATATAAAATCACACTATAAATTTTGAATTAGTAAAAATTTGTATTTTAAATCTTGGATGTCAACGGTTAACATTTTTAAAGAATGAAAGTAGTTACGCTAACATATTAAACAATGAAACTAACTTACTTGTTTGCTACATCAATGTGACACGTTATATTCATTATCCGGTCACAAAGACGATGTGGCTGTTGCTTTTTATTTTTTATTTTATTTTAAAAATATTATTTTAGTCAATAAAAATGACAAAATAGTATTAAATAAATAAAATTATCTTTAAAAATTACTGAAAATTTTAGAACTTTTTTTTGGAAAATACAAAACTTTACTAAATATTAATCTTATAATGTTAAAATCAAAAAAAATAAATTCATACATATATATATCATAGGCAATAGCCATATGTCTATGATGATGATAAAAGCTATTGGAAACAATTTGTATTCATGTTTTATTTATATTTTTAGTATTTTTGTGAATGATGATATGTCATAAACCGCTATATCTTCGTGAGTTGGTTCATCCTTAATAGAGATGTCTAAAATTTGAATTTTAAGCATATAAATTTTAAATAAATTTACAGAATTTGAATTTTAAAAATTGAAGTAAATGAAAAATTTATTTCATAATTTATAATTTTGTTTTTTTTTCTTGAATTTTTTTTTAAATTACATTAAATTTTTGGATGTTAAATTTTTTTGTATAACTTTTAAAATGTTTTAATTTCTTTTTTTGATTATTTTATTTATTTTTATATGTCAATTTATCTTTCTTTATTTTAAACATTTTTATTGATCAAAATACTTGTGTTGAGGGCCTAATTGATGTCTCTATATAAATTTAGGAGTGTCAATTGGGCTGATCTAGCCCGACTCTGTCCAAAATCTGTAAAATCTGTTGATAATTAAGTCTAGTCCAGTCCGGTCAATAAAAGCTTCGGGCCTATATTTTAAAATTTGGTCCGGTCTTAAACAGGTTAAAACTTTAAATTTTTTTTGAATTTTTGAACTTTTACGAAGATAGAATAAAACTAAATACATTAAATTAAAATCAAAATTAATCTGACCCCAAAATTAAACAATCATCGATACGTTTATAAAATCTAAATTTAAAAAACTTTCTTACCTAATAACTAAATAAACATTAATATTGAATAAAAATAAAACAAAATTCTTTTAACTTTTATCAATTGAAAGTGTAAGATAAAGATCTAATGTTCATCACTGACTTCCACATTCTCATTATCATCCAAAACTACATATAAAATATACAAATATTAAATTCTGACATATATATCAATAAAATAAATTTAATAAATATCAATATTTGATGAATCCGTCCATGTTGCTTTACTAATGGGATGCCCTAATACATTACAAAAAAATTTTTGAATCGTGGAACGTAAATCTTTTCTACCAAATATGTTTACAAATTAATACTTCAACATATTTTAGTAAAAGAAAACTTTGAATTTATTTTAAAACACGGCCCAATGCCAAAACTAAAATTTAATGTTATAACATTTCTTTGAATTCTATATTTGTTTAAAATATGAGTATTAATTTTATATTTATTTAAGAAATAAACACTAATGTTAAATAATTAAATAAATTAAAATATGAAACTTGAGTTTTTGAGTCAGCCCTAGTGCAAAATGGGCTTAAGTCTTTTTTTTTGTCAACAATATGGGCTTAAGTCTAAAACGATTAAAGCTTTAAATCTAAAAAAAAAAAAAATCAATTTTTGCACTTATCCCCTGTATATTAATTGAGAAACATTTGAAAAATTGTAACCTCAATTTTGTAATAATTAAAAAAGAGCTCATACTTACGTGTCACTCAATTAGGTAGTCAATTACATTCAATTGAAAAATAAGTAGCTCCACATTCGATTTTTATATGTCGCTATATATATTTATTAGTCAAACTATATGATATGATATTTATGATAGAAGCATTTATGATGGTCCTGCTATATATAATTACTATTTTATTTTCTTTCCTTAAATAAAAATTACGGAATTACCATAAATGACAAATATCCCCCTATACATTAAAAGAGAAGTCACTTTGACACGTGGCATTCACACGGCGCTTCTCAGAAGAATTCTAGCGATTCTATTGGTTGATTTTTTATAATTTATTTTTTTTATTTATTTTTACCATCGACACTACTAAAAAGAAAATCCATTTAAATACTTACCTTTTGTGTTTTCTCGATTCAAAGAACATCCTTTTGCGATTCTTTCTCTGTTTAATTCATTAAATACTCATTAAATATTTTAGATGTCAGAGAAACAAAATTAATTGACAAGATATTTTCACTTTTAAAATCATGCATTTAAAACAAAATTAATTGATAAGATATTTTCTCTCTAAAACCAATATTTTCTCATGAGATGTTCTCTTTTAGCTTTACCAACAAGATATTCCAAAAATAATATCTATACTATTATTTGCGAAGTGATTTTTCGCAACGGAGCTCTCACGTTAAAAGTTAGACTGGTTAATATCGTTTATACCCTTAATGAATAATTTATTTGTACTATTTATTATACTATTTAATTAAATATAAAATATCATATATTTAATATACTATAGAGGAGAGTACATTAATAGATCATTATAAGTTTAAGTGGATTATACGATTAGTTTACTGAATCAAAATTATCTGTATATTTAAATAGTATTAGTTTATTGAATGAAAATTATCTGTATATTTAAATAGTATTATACAGATTAAAAGAATGAGAATGAGAATGAGATATATCTCCTTTTGATTATATGATTTAGTTTATTAGTTTATCTCGACATTCGTTTGGTATTCTTTACTATTTATTATACTATTTAATTTAATATAAAATATCATATGTTTAATATATTATAGAGGAGAGTATGTTAATAGATCATTATAAGTTTAAGTGGATTATACGATTAGTTTATCTAAAAATAATTTCATATTAACAAACTTAATACATAATATATCAACTAATACGTTCATGAAATTTTAAACACACATGTTAAGATCTAGGTATAATTTAGGTATATATTTGACCAATTTCTATTTTTTTTTCTTGCTCACACCGGTTTGAATCTTCTCCATTGTCTAACTTTTGTTTTCCTTCGGTTATCCGAAAGTCTACGTTCATATCTTACAATATTAAAAGTTCTTAATACTCAACATATAAGGTGTCCACGTATGCAAATAAAATCAGCCAATCAGAAAGTTTCTATCGGCCACGTCACCGGCTTTCCGTGAAAAGGATTTGGTTTGACGGTTCTGTCGACGCAAATTTGAAATCCTAATCGCATGGAAGGCAATCGATTCGCTTCCACGACTCCATCTTCTCCGTTTCACCTTCTCCCCATCTTGAATGCCTCTTTTACTCAAATCTCTCTTTACTCCCTTTGTTTCGTGGCTTATATAATCATACTCCAAATCTTTGATCCACACAAGATCCATTCATGGCTATCAAAACGACGAAGCAAAGCGGATCAGGAGGCTCATCCCTTCTGACAACAGAGATCTTAGGTTGTTCTTGATTTTTTTTTATTTTCATTTAACGTTCACAGAATCGCATGATCTACTTTTCCGAGTTGTTCATAGCCAACCTTCATGTCTATTCAGAAAAGTTTGAAGCTTGAATCAAGGGACAGCCTTGGAGAAGCTTACAAGACCCCAAATGCAATTCAGTAAGTGGAAAACAATCACTCCATTTGGTTCTTTTCAACTGAATTGTGGTTTTGGATTTGAGTCTTTTGGTTTTGCTTGTCATGCTGTTACTCAGAACGCTTGACAAGACAATTTTGAATCTTGAAATGGAACTAGCGGCTGCGTGTATACAGAAACTGTGTGCTAACCAAGGACAAACTGTGTATACAGAAACGTACTTCACAAGTATGTGAATGAGGATGTGTCTTTAGGATCATGGTTTCTTGGATTAGATGTGGAGCATGTAGATGACCGTAGGCTATGTTGTGGTACAACAGGTTAAAAAAAAAAAACAAGTTCCTTTATCTATTTGTTCAAGTATAGTAGTTTGATCAATGAGAAACTGCAGATTGTAAATGAAAGGCACAGCCGCCCAAAGGTTGTGGCTTTTGGTTTGGCTTATTACTATTTTTGATCGGTTTTGAAACGAGAGGTTTGTTTTGATTTTCAGGGTTTGGAGA